GAATGTCAGATGAAAGAGAGAAGCCGATAACTAGTACGTTCTAGAAACGATAAAACAAGAACCTTCCATAGCGAACAATTCGATGCTTCTACGCTTTCGTCTGCGAGCAGCCGACTGCTATATAAGGGCGACACTCAGCTGCAAGTCAAGTTAGTTACAAAGTGAGCTCGTTGGCGTTAACATCGGTAAAGTCGTAAAGTAAACGCGTTGGAGATTACATTTAAGTAAAGTAAATTGTGAAGGTTATGCAAGTGATTGTAGCTAGCAAAGTGCTTTGTAATTGAATTGTGAATTACTGTGTGAATAAAGGATATTCGATAAATTCTTTATAAAGAAAGAAACTGCAAATTAAGTTGGCGAGTTTTATTTAACAATCCAGAGATCATACCCGAAGGATTCGGAAAATAGTCGAGGTTGATTTAGTAAAATTGTAACAATATTAAAATTTTTAAGAAATATGAATAAATAAATACCTTTATCTATAACCTCCATAACCAACCTGCACGCGAACTGTCCTGGTAGCACGGGATTTGTTAAAAGCTTTTAACACAGTCAATCATTCAGTGCTACTTATGGACAGTGAGCAATCCTCATTACCATGGGAGGTCGACAATCATCGGTAGTATTCCAAAGTGAAACATAGAAACAAAGAAATATTAAACAAGGGATTCCACAGGATGGTGTCCTATCTCCGCTCTGTTTAATTGTTATATTTCGAAACTCCCACCTCCACCAGAAGGAATTTCCCTTAGCTCGTATGCCGATGATTGTACGATATCGGCATCTGACCAGGATATTCGAAAGTTAAATGCTCCCTTGCCGATCTTTCTCACTTCTTCACTGCACGACAATTAAAAATACAACCGACTAAATCTTCGGCTACCATCTTCACCAGCTAATGAAATAAATTAAATAGAAAAAGACGTGTTCCTTTCTTTATTTTTTATTTTAAACTCACAATACTTCGTTTTTTAGAAACATTTATTTAAAAACTAACTTAGATGAAAATGTAATTTACAAACAAGAGTGGTAAAAAATAAAGTAGAAAGTAAATTTGGGGATAAAATTACTACATGTTCGAATATGTGTGGGAGAGCATTCGAACAAAGAAGGATTTACATAACTAGCTGGTCGAAGGAGTACACGCTTGAACTAGATGTGAAGGTCGATGACACAAAAATTCCAGTTGTAAATAACCCAAAAATTTTGGGAGTGACACTAGACAGCCTGCACTCCTTCACTCCGCAATTGCCGCAAAACCCCAGAGCCCCAACAAAATACTCAAATCACTAGCCGGCAGCACCTGGGTTAAAGACAAGGAACTTTGCTGGCAACTTACAAAGCAATAGATTCGCAGGCTTTCGCCTTCACGATGACCCTTGATCTCTTCCCTTGAGAAATCACAGACCTCCCGCCGGTTAGGGGCTCAAGTACTTACCCGTGGTACGGAATGCCTATCGTAAGAGGCTAATAAAACTCAGTAGTTCCTGAGACAGTCAGACCTTTATACCAAGGACTGTAAATCTCACAATATTCCCCGAAAAGCAATTCGTTGAATATTTTGCGGTTACAACAAAAACAGACAGGAAATAAACGCCATTCACCTGGTTTTAGTTAACACCTTCAAAAATTCTTACCCTGTGAATGGCGTCCTCGGAGTCAAATCGTGTTGAAGCGTTCGAGCTGCCTTGAGAGACTCGCATAATACTGGTGCAACCTGCATTTGGATATTGTAGCAGAATAAAATCCTACTTATTCAGACCTATACATATTAGCCTGTTGATAGACGACCTCGACCTTAATGGCTGTCAACAGTGACGTGGAAACCAAGCTAATAGTGCACCGACTCTTCGTTTCTTGGAATCATAATTTTTTTGTGTCCTCGTTCACTTGTTGTTTTTGTCGTTGTTATTGTACTAAGGCATGCCTGCCTTTAGGGAATATTATTGCGACTACAAAACAACAAGAATCATGGTATCGCATGTGTGAAAGAACCTTAAAAGGTGACAAAATGAAGTGCCAATAATTAATTCGAGCTGGCTATAAAAGCTTCCAAATTACTTGGGAATTGTACCTTAAATACGACTTTTTTTTAATAGAGATGTTTCTGAAAATCAAGGTCAAATTGTAATAGATAATAACAAAATTATACGGTCAGTTTATTTTGCTATTTAAAAAGAAAATAGTGGTGAATTTTCATATTTTCTTAAATGTTTGTTTCTCAACTTCTCGTTTTATGTAGTTCTGTGTGCTGTGCGGTTCAATTATAGATTTTCTAGTTAAAGAAGATAAAGCCGCACAATCTGTAAACGATGTATGTATGTCCAATCGACACAATGAAATGCAAACTGGTCCTAAGTAATCTCTTAGTAGAACATTGTAACATTACTGAAAAAGGTAATTATTTAGAACAGCGGCTTTTGCTAAAACTGTCCAAAAATGATGGGGTTTTTGGCTAAATAGATGTATTTGATGATTATCTTTTCATTAAAAGTGGGGGAAAGCTGAATTTTGCAATAGTTTTATTGTTATTAACATTTAAAGTTACACTAAAATCACTAGCACATACATTACAAACAAATACAAGGCTAAAGCGATGTTGCCATACTGTGTATGAAATTCAAAAAAGAGCAATAAATAAGGCGGAGCAAGTGTGGGTCCGGCATGGTTTGTTTTTTTCGATTTATTGAAAGGAACAAAAACAAAAATTCTTAACATGAATAAAAACGAAAGTTCATATTATTTACATATTTACATACAAAAACGAAAACTGTTCAAAAATTCAAATATTAAGGTATTTTCATATCTTCAAAATTCATATTATTTACATATTTAAATTGTAACCGGACCAACACCGGCTTCGCCTTGCACAGTACTCTTAAGTGAAACTCTTTTGTAAGTTGGCGGCCTTCGGCTGCGCTTTGGATTGTAACCCTGGGCCGGACAAACACCGGCTTCGCCTTGCACAGTACTCTTAAGTGAAACTCCTTTGTAAGTTGGCGGCCTTCGGCCGCGCTTTGGATTGTAACCCTGGGCCGGACCAACACCGGCTTCGCCTTGCACAGTATTTTTAAATGAAATGTCTTTATGAAAAATACTGTTTAATTTATATGTTATTTTACATGCAAGCCAATATGAATTTTTTTTTATTCATGTTATGAATTTTCGCTTATATTCGTTTCAATAAATCGAAAAACTCATCAATGCAGGACCCACACTTGCTCCGCCTTATTTATTACTCCTTTTTAAGTTTCTTACACAGTATGGCAATGTCGCTTTCGCCATACTTTGTCTTATTCATTACTCTTTTTTAAGTAAGATATGGCAACATCGCTTTAGCCATGTATTTGTTTGTAATGTATGTGCTAGTGATTTTAGTGTAACTTTAAATGTTAATAACAATAAAACTATTGCAAAATTCAGCTTTCCCCCACTTTTAATGAAAAGATAATCATCAAATACATCTATTTAGCCAAAAACCCCATCATTTTTGGACAGTTTAAGCAAAAGCCGCTGTTCTAAATAATTACCCTGAAAAATATATAAAACACTTTTGGGTTAATCTATCACGATACAGCCACTTCATGTTTCTCTTTTTACCACTTCTAATAAAGAATATTAAAAACTCTTTTTTCTTCACATATCCTCTAGTATTGACACTACACAACCACTTGGATTAGTCGACAGTTTATCTTTCAAAAATACAATCGATATCACGACTAATTTTTTAAAGCGCAATCGGCCCTTCATTTATTTCTAGCATGTATAATAAAGTTCAAACACAATTACTTGGCATGAGTTTGAGCTTTTCTCATTTGTGTGAGGATGTTAGACAGCTCTTCACGCTTCCTCTTTGCACGAATGTGTGTGCCTAAGCGACGCTTCAAGAATTTCAAAGCACGCTTATCCTTCGACACTTTCAACAATTCCATGGTTCTCTTTTCGTATGGAGCATGTCCTACAACTTCACGAACCAAATCTCGCATGAATTTGGTGTGGCGTGTTTGGATCTGTAATTATAAACAATTACTATACATCAAAGATATGATTTTTAATGAACATACGTTCTTCAAACGGGATCCACGAAGGCCTTTAACTTTTTTGTCTCCAGTGTATTTTACATTCTTCACTTTTGTTGTTTTATGTCCCTTATTGAGACCCACGCAAAGTTCGTATCGCACTGCCATAGTTGCTGTAAATAAACAAACTAGTTAATAATATATTCCGTTAATTCTTTAACAAAAAGCGAATTGTATAGAAAATAGGATAACAAGTATTATTTTTCAATATAAGCGTAAGATGTGTGCAATATATTTAGATTTTAATAAGAAAATTTAACATCAACCCACCTTAGCAGCTGTCAAAAGGCGGAAAGACCGTTGACAAACATTAGTCGAAATTTCCCATTTTGCTACAAGTATTGCCAGAGTAAATTATTTCAAATTGGCATTTACAGTGATGTATTTTCGAACTTGCTTTAACCCACCAATTGTTTTTACAATTAACAAATATATGAAACTCGTCATTGGCAAAATCAATTTAGTTATATTTTTAGAGCAAATATATACTGTGTTTTGTTTTTTTAATTTCAAATATTTAATGTGGATAACTTTCCTTAAAAAATAGGCAAGCGCAGACAAGCACAAAAAAGCCAAAAACAAAATTTTGCCTGAGGAGAAAATAGAAAAAGTTAACTAATGTGAACATTTAAGTGACTTCATTTATTAAACTATAATAGTGAAAAAATCGCCTCAGATGATCCTCATCTTATCGAGTAACTTAATTGGTAGTCTGCATTCTTCATAAATAGAACTGGCAGCTCATTTTCTCACTACACCGAAAACAGTGTGAATGACAAAATTATCTTTCAAAATGATTTCTATAAGAATTTAATATTCGATATGTTGCAGCAGATATATTGAATCTATTTTAAATAATTCATATTATGTTTAAATTTTTAATTTTTTTTATTTTCAAGACACTGTAAATTCAATTAATGATTTTATCTTTAGAAAGTTTTGTATTGTATTCTATAAACGGTTTAACTTTGTGTACTAATTGCTAGGTGCTGTGAGACATACATAAATATTATATCTATATAACTTTGTGTCTGATCATAGATTAGTCTAGAAGTGTACATTAGTAGATATCGCCCGAATAAGTAAAAAATTTGTTCTTGTACCATTACAAGTTCGCCTTGTGCACAGTTATTTTGAAACCAAAGTGAGTTTAACAAGGTGAAGTTATTACGGCAGCGAATTCAAATATTTCATAAATTCAACGTTAAGTTTGTCAAATATGCTTTGTATATTATGTTTTGTTTGCTTGAGTTCCATTTGATATTCTATTTGTAAATGTGAAAATTTTGAGAATTGTGATTGTGATTGTGGCTTGCGCAGAAAAAAAATGAAAAAGAGAGTTTGGTCATTTTTAAAATAAAAATTTAAATAAGTTTTCCATGATTTTGACAATGGCTAGGCGAAAGGTTGGTAAAATACAAAATACGTGGTATTATAATAGTTGTATTTGTTCTTTTTATCTCATCTTTATGAATTTGCCTTGTTGCAAACCGTAGTTAACGGGATGACAACTCAAAAAATCTTTACACTTAAAGTTCAGTTACTTTTTTCCACATTAATATGTAAATAATTTTCTTAAAATAAATACTAAAGTTGAGCAGCAGTTCTATCTATTGCCTTAAAAATTATCAAATAAAATTTAAAGGTTGATTTATGATTGTGTTTTTGAAACTAGCCGTCGAAAAAGTCGTTCCATTTAATATCGTATATAGTTCATTTAGTATTCTACGCTAATAAAAAGTGCACAATTTCTACATTTTAAACTGCCTTATCTTTGCTGCCTGCCTTTGCTACTATTGAATTATTTGGACCAATATTACTAATTATGGTTAAAGAATTAATTTAAGATACGTTTTATAACGTGATGAATGATTATTATTAAAAAGAAAACGCAATAAAATTTTAAACTAGGACTTTCCTTTTTTAAATCATTTTCAGCTGCTTTTTGACGAAATTTTCTATGCATGTCTTTTTTGCTTAATTCAAAACTGATAATTACATATGAAATGGTCAGAAACAGTCGTAAATAAAAAAAATATTTTCCTTAAAATTGGAACATAATTTTTCTTTAACCTTCTCATTTTTTAACTTCTTCATGTTTTATGTTGGCGTATTTGTATTCTATTGGAAATTACAACCAAATGCCTCGTGTTATTGGTAAGAAGAAGAAACTAATAATATCGCTATAAACATTACCCGCTTAAGCATTTATTTCTATTTAGTAAATATTATTTATTTAATTTATAATCTTAATTATTATAAATATTTTTCGTAGCAGTGCGAACGTGAAAATCTCGCTAAAAGAGAAGTTGCAGAATACAAACAATAAAACTCAATATAAACGGCAATCAAATATATATGATATTAGTATATGGTGATAAAAAATTAATTACGAATTCAGTTTTAATTTCTTTTAAAAAATTCTCATTTCCTTAGTTTTTTTAATAATTGTTTAACAATGTCAATACTGGTAACTTCGTATAACAGCGAGTAGTGGGCTAAACTTGTTTTAAGAAGAAATGACTACCCATCTTACATACCGCACAGCCGTAACACCGGACTGTAATAGAATATACAAACACTAGTATTTTCTATTATTTATATTATATGTATGCCGCTTTGTAACCGCTAAAGCGATTTTCGGCCGAGCTCCTCCTCCAATGTGCGGTTTTGCGTCTCGATGTTCTTCCAACAAATGGAGGGACCTACAGTTTGTATTAAGTCGCCTTCGAACGGCTGGTGCTCTTTTTACGAGGAACCTTTATTTCATGTCCGAAATACGCTTGGTGGGGTGGTCATTCCCTGCCGAGAAGCGTCCGCAATTAGAAACTTTAACTTAATTTGTATTGAAAATAATTTTCCATACTTTTGGATGTTGTTGACACCGGGATTTGAACCAGAGCATTCCGAATGTCAGTACGCAATGCTAATCACTCTGCTACCGCGGCCGTCAATAAATTTATTTATATTAATTTTTCACAATTAAACTTACCAGCTAACTGTGACAACAAAATGAAAATAAATGGGAAAAAATGTCAAACGCTAGACTTGAATGTACCAAGGTATAAATATATAAAAGCTAATTGAAAATACTTAAGATATGTTGTAACAGTGCTATAGTTTTTCATTTGATTTGTCCCTTAAAATATCCTTTGTTTGGTAAAAGAATTAAATGCGCGAAGTACAACGCAAAAATTCTTCTGGAACTACTCTTTGATGCAACTATGTATATACAATATTCGTAATTCGAAATTATGGAACTTCAAATTCGAACAACACATTTCGAAAGATATATTGGAAATTTTGTACGCCGGCCATATTGTTATTGTGTGTATGAAAGAAAATACTCTAGACACGTGTTTAATGTTGCGAAGTGTTTGGTGGAAATTAAAGAAAAGTTTGCAAAATAATTAATATATTCAAATTGCGTATTGTTGAAGGCTTTGAAGCAGCTTTGATTAGCTGAATATTCTTATATTTTTACTGTGTTTAATAAGGTAAGGGCGTAGGAAGCAGAAAAAACATAACCTAATCTGTCGTCAGTCTTTCTATTATGAGTTATTGTAAATGAAATGGTAAAACATATTTTACCTGGTTTTAAGCAATATTTTTTTTTAATGTAATTGCATCTATACGTTTTGCACTTTGAAAGGTATTGTGCAACGTAATCAATAGTTTGGGAATACAAATAGGAACTAAAAGTAGCAAACAAAAGTAGTATTTGGTTCATTAATGTGGAAAACGGGGGAAGGGTAGTTGTATGTACATATGTAATTGTAGGTAACAAATGTACGCTCATTTATCGAATAAATATGCTTTCCATGTACTACGCATCACGTAAATGAAAAAGCTATTGAAAATTTTACAAAAATTTAAAATTTTCGCGGTATCTTTTTGTTTCGCAATAATTGGTTTCAGTCATGAAGATAGATAAAGGTACATATGTATATACTTATGCACGTACTATGTGTATACAACGTATAATCATACTGAGATGGGTTTCTTTTAATTAAAAAACATGGAATCTTGTTAAAAAATATTAAGAATAAAACGCATTTTCAACCTATTTGTTATATTTTCATGTTATAGTTTATAACTACATATTATTAGGCCAAGTATATTTTTCAGAATTTACTAGAAATTGCTTGCAGCATGGCTTTTGTACTGCCTTAAATATGAATACTTTATTTAATTTTTTTATTAATTTATTTTTAAAATTGTGAATTGTTCACAAATTTATAATGTTATTGCCTATTTAATTCTTCTAAAACTTATAGTCTGTTGTTTCATTTTCTTTTAAGACTGTAAAGAAATCTCTTTTTAATTTTCAAATGTTAATTTTATTTTTAGTACTAAAAAAGTACAGCAGAAAGTATTCTGACAATACATTTGCAATCAAATAAAAGTATATTTTATTCCCAACAGTATAAAGCAACTGCTAATGGTAGTAATTATTTTATAAAATTATGTTATGTATGTATGTAATAAAACTTTTAGTTTTTTGAATTGTTTTTCCGTTGTGCAACAAGTTTGTGTTTTTCGGTTAAAGAGAGAATATTACGTGAACAAAAATATCGAGAAGAGAATACTGCTGCCAAGAAACTACATATTCTAACAGAAAGCTATGCTGAAATTTTTTATTTGTTTTAGTTAATGCCTGTTTCTCCTGTGTTTCGAATGTCTTGCGCGAATTTTTAATTTAAACCTGAAGGAAACAAGAAATGGTGATATTTTAATTAAAAGAGTTTGATTAAATAATATATTTATTTATAAAACAAATTCGCTAAAATCGATATAATCATTAAATTTATTTATATATAACAATAAAAATCTTAAATTAAAACTGAAAATATTTAATCAATAATCACTTAATAAATATATATATGTATATACATATTTTTTTTGATAAGGTTTTAAAAATTTGCATACATTTGGTAGTGCGTGTTGACAAATTTATTTTCACCTTTATCGAATGCATTCGTATCTGCACGTAAATTTTTTTTGAATGCCGAAACTATAAATAAGTCTCTCGTGAGCGGGAACTAAATTTTCCGCCCGCAACGATACAAATAAAACAATAGAGAAAATGCGGTATCGGTCTTGCTGTGTTAGATCTTTTTTTCAAATCCAAGATTCACGTGATTGTTTTATTATTAATCTCGTTGTGATATTTTAAAAAAAATATTTTGTTTTGTGATATTGTTTGGTAAATATTTTTTTCAGCCATTGAACACTTCGAAAAAGAATCCTTAATATTGTTTTAAATATCGACCGAACGAACTAAACGAACAAAAGTTGTTAGAAAATGAAAATTATTTAAATTCACGAAAATTTGTATAACAAAACTAAGTAAAACTAAACAAATAATTAAAAATTTAAATAGGTAAGTAAACATATCACACAGTCGTGAAGCTGTCGCAACATATGATTGCTAATATTCTCTCCTTTTCAAATACACAACCAAAATACATGAGCAAAGGGTTTTGACATTTTGAACGTTCGGATTACACAAATAAAATTCATATGGTTTTGTTTTTGTATTCTTGCTACAACCGTGTTGCTGCCGTGTGTGAATTTACCTTGAGTAGAATGTATATAATGAGATATTCTTATAAAGAATTCAACTGAGTATAATGAAGTTAAATGTGATATGTTCAAATGATGAAACACGTATATGCTTAAATTTACTTTTAAGCTTTAAAATATGACACTACATTTAGTTCCTTTGAATAAAGTTATAAATATTTTAAAGATTTTAAATCTGCAGTCTTTCAAGAATATTTTCGTTAGTTAAAAAAAAAAACAAATTTTCAGGCTCTGATTGATAAAAAAAGGAACAAGGTAAATTAGCCACGAAGAAATAAATATACTCATACCCCAGTTTTTAATAAAAGTCTAATAATTTGTTAAATCTCACGAAATAAAAAAAAAGTTATCAAACTTTTTATTAAAATTGTTTCACAATTATTGAATATGGGCGTGGGTTCGTATCCCTTCTCTAAAACCTTAGTTCGATTAAGATTTTTTTTTATATATTTAAATTATTGTATTACAACATTGTTTTTGTTTTTTTCCATAGTTTTCAATATTCTACGAAAATGGTTTCTGGTCGCCCCCTTTTATATATGTCACTGCCGGGAGTAGTATTTATTCTCGGTGTATTTTGGTACCGACGTCGCAATAAAAGTCGTTCAATGGAGGATACAACTGTGGAAGAACCAGAGAATATTAACATGAAAATCACAAAAGAATCATCAACACCTCATGCAGGTGTAAATTACATGCTTAGCAAATCAGAACCCTTACAGAGTGATTCTATGAATATAAATAATAAAAACATAGACGAAGAGAGTCCAACTGGGAGACTTTTTGGCAAATCGGCTCCAATAAAAATTGTTCAGAACTCAAGAGGCTCCCCAGTTAAACAACAAGTTGATTCAGAAGTACTTAAAAGCAAAATTCAAAATGCTGAAGATAAAGTACTCCGTTCAATTGATGAAGACTTTGAAAATTTATCATCTCCGATTGATTTGCCAGACTCTATTGATAATCGCATTACGTTTTATTCAAGGAATGTAAATTGTAAGAATGACGCTCCAGTTGTAGTGAGGGCAACTCGCACTCCAAAAATATCTCCTGAAAATTCTTTCCTTGAAAGTAAATACATCAAAGATTGTGAAGAAAATAATAATTCTGAGCCTATGACAAAAACAACAACAGAAAAAATTGATGTCAACCAGAAAGAAGAAGCAAAAATATCTGAAAATCATATAATAATTGAAAATAGTTTTAACAAACAAAATGCAATAGAAGTTATAGATCAAGGGAATACTGTTCTTGAAAATGAGGAGCGCAATGTTGATGCTGCTAGTCCCTCATTAAGTTCATGTAGCGATCAGTCAGGCGATTCTGGAAAAGGTTCAAGTTTGCCACGGTCCGAAGCTAATCGTGCCAAAACCAAATATGAGTTCTTCATCCCAAATAGTTTTGTCGGCCAATTGTATGGCAGGAAACACACGTTTATAAATCATATTAAAGTTAAAACTTCAGCAGATGTGGATGTACGCAAAACATATTATGGCGGTATTGTGGTATGCATATGTAGAATTGAGGGCTCTGATAGTGAAATAAAAGCTGCTTTGGCAATGATTAGACAGCGCCTACCCATTAAACGTTATCCAAATTTTACCATGCAGAAAATAATTTTTGCACCCCCTGAAACTGTAGTTCCTTTATCCATCGAAAACATTCAAAATTTACAGGTAAGTCAATAATAAACATATATGCACAAATAAATGTACTCTTATAACTATGTATATAAAAATACTATTACATTGATGCACATGTTTGTATTTGTATATACTTTCGTTAATTCAATTCAGACACCATTTACACATTTACACATTTATAATATATTTGTTTTTTACTACAGCTTAAACTTATAGAAGGCATCAATAATGATGTACGGGTTTCTACTATTATAAATGCCGGACATATGTTCGTGCAACAACCTTTGCATCCTACTGCTCCTAAACTAGATGTTCTTAATAAATGTATATCAGACAGCTATGAAACAATGGTTACGCCTCCGTTGCCTCGAGTTGAATTGAATGCTATTTGCGTTATGCCAGCTAACGGACTTTGGTTAAGAGTGCAAATTGTCGATCAACACGACGATGGAAAACATTGCTTAGTGAAATTATTGGATTGTGGAGGTTATGTGACTGCAGAATTTAGCCAGTTACGGCAAATTAGATCAGACTTTCTGACTGTGCCATTCCAAGCAACAGAATGTGTTCTGTCAAATGTGGAACCAATCGGTATGTTAATAATATGTATTTCAAAACACAGCGCATATTAATAACGAAATTTTTATTTCATTTAGATTCTATCTGGTCACAAGAAGCTGCGGAAGTATTAGGGTACCTTACAGGCGGTATCATTTTACAAGCTCAAATAGCGGGATACAATAGTCTTAATATACCAGAAGTTTATCTGTTTGCTAACTTAGGTCCAAATGTAAGTATTTTATTTTTATTTCATGGCGTAAATTAATAAGGACGCTAGAATTGAACTGAAAACATTTCGGGAATCGCAATAGAAATTCAGAAAGAATCGGAATATAAAAGGAAAAGTCTATTTTAGCTTTAGGACGTTGTTTTGTTGTAACCGCTAATTTATTCCCCCATACTAATGAATTTTAGTCGTCTTTTGAAGGGACTTTGGTGTTTAACAATTAATTAGAGTGAGGTATGATTATATTGTTAATATTTTTTTGGGTGATTCTTAGTAACTGCTTCTCCTACATTTGCAGTAAAGAGAATAAATGGACTAAAAATCGCTCATATGTATATAGTTGCATATCTTTAACTGGGAATTAAATGTGCAAAAGATAGTATAATTTTACTTATTTAACTGTTAATTAAAATGCTAATAAATATTTAACAAAAGTGAATTATTATTTCATTTCAGAACATCATTTTCATAAATAAAGAACTTGTCGCTAGAAATCTAGCTAAGTGGGTTGACTGATTTAAAGAAGGAAGCTTATGTAAAATCTACTAATTCAGAAGCTACAACTATCATCTAATTCATTTTCAAATATTTAAAAGAACAAAAACGCTTTTTAACTATTTAGAAATAGTAAACGTATTTCATTAGGTAAGTTATCATTCGCTTAGGATACAAAAGTAATCAATTGTAATGCCCAATTTTTTGTGGAGAGAGCTTAAATTTCATATTCGAATGTTAACTTTTGACTTTTAGTAAAACAAAGTTATGAATTAACCTTATTGAGAGTTATCTCTGTACCGTAAAAACGGACGGCAGAGTTGTGAAGATTTTGAAGTCTTTGAGGCATTATGCGACACTCTGTGTTGTACTAAATAGTCATTTGTGTCAAGTGAATGAACCTGTTGTAAATATGAAATATTATTAAAACAATCGCCAAAATTGAGGTGAGAATAGTATATAGATAGTAATATATCAAGCAATAGAAGGCTCGTATTAATTCTGCCGGACAAAAAGTTTAAAATAACTCTTGTACATATATGCATATTAAACTTTTATTTTAATATATATAGTATATTTTTACCTCTCTTATTGATGCATAACAACATATGTTAAAAACATATACTTATGTATATTTTTTTACTAAACCTAATAAGAATGTAAAAGCAGCCTACATGTTTGCAGTAAGGCATTTTGATGGAAGTCGGAGAGAAACATCTGAAACCATTACCTATTTTAAACACATGCAGCTTATATCTCCTGAAAAGAATATCTCGTTTTATTAGCTTTTCTTTTTAATAAAATTCATTCACATGTATTTTTTTGTTTTTGACGGTTTTGACTTCAATTTTTGGCTGTCCTTTGATTCCCCTATTGGTGACAAAAAAAAAATGCATCAAAATGCCTCCTGTGCGTTGTAATTCACATTTCTACTTGAATACACTTAAATATATTAGAATTTAAAGTAATTTTCTAATAAGTAATATTCTAGGCCTTTTAAGTAGATATAAGTATGCTAAATGTAATGTGTAAGTAATCGTTCAGTTATTCTTTAAAAATGTCATATTTATTTTGCACCTTATATACTAGCCAGAAGGCATGTTTTACAAGTATGAAACCCCATAAACATTAGTGTTAATTATTGTTTTGATTTTGAATTAGTTTGTTAATTTTATATATAAATTTATAGATTTAAATTTATTCATAAATTGATTTAATGAAACGTTATAATACTGAATATTACAACTGGAGTATACATAGACATAAAAACAATGGAGATTTTCTATTATGAAAAAATAAAAATATATTGCTTTGTTCATCGTTCTACTGCACATTGAAGCCAATTACACCGATAGCTATGCAGAAATAATAATCTTATGATACTATATCATACATTTCTGGAACTCTGTTTTATGTATTGATCAAAAAGTGGCATAATTAATGTGGCGCCTACAGCTCTAATGCATATTACAATGCAAAAAATATGTTATCAAGATTCATGCAGAGTACGTTAAGCAGTCGCAAAAGTAAGTTGACTGAAAAATATACTCTAATAAAGAGAACGTTATTAAATCGTTAATTTTGCTTTTTATTTATTACAAATTTGAAAACATTAAGTGGTGGCTTTCTTTCTCTGTTGAAGAGATGTGATATGATATACAGGCCTACGCTGTTCAGTCTGCTTATGCAGTTGCCTCCTCTTTCTGCTTAGTGTGCCTGATTAATTTGTGCTATACGAGTATGTGAAAACTGAAGATGAAACAAAACGTAATCCTCATGCAATATTTCTTACATCCTTATTTACCAATTTAGTGAATTTAAAAGTTTTGTAAACGGTCGATAAAAACCTTATGGCAGAAAGAGTATTAAAATGTATGTATATTCAAGAGGAAAAATTACTTATTGTTTTAACAAGAAATGAAACAAGGACATCAGCATAGACTTCCGTGCTTTAATTAATGCGACCAATGTTGTGGGGTGTTTTCGATTATAAAAGATGGTATGGTCAAAGTAATTTCACCGTTCAAAAAAAAATTCCAGTAGTATAAATTTATTTTGTAAAACTATTGTGCTTTTACATATGTCATATTCAGGGTTGTTATAGAAACCAACACTGAATTGGTTATTAATCGGGATTGAAAATCAATTTTTGTTTGAAAAGTAAGTGCAATTTGCATCCTACTTATACATTTGATATTCTGATACAAAATTTGTTTGTATGTAGATTCACAGACCAATAACGTATTAACAAAGAAGCCTTTGTAATTGTGCTGGATGTCAGTGAAGACCTGTTAGAGAGACTGTCTATTCCACATGTGCTCCAACTTGCAGCCACACTACGGTTTTTGGCAGAAGGTTCATATTAATAGTGTGTGGGACTCAATCTTCTTAGCGCGACCCACAGTTTCTGTGGTTATAACAGAATTGCGTTTGAACGTTTGAATTGTCCACGCAGGGTAATTCTAGGAATGACCGACAATGAAAAATGGAGAGCTGACCATTTTTATATCATGTACCGTTTGGCAGTAATGGGAAGAGGACACCACCCTGCGGAACCCCTTGTTTAATCTTCTTCAGCTTTGATGTTTGACCTCGAAATTCTACCGATGTTTGACGACCACTTAGGTAGATCATGATCCACCTCTTCAATGTTCGATAGTAACACTGAATGGTTGACAATGTAGAAAGCTTTTTCACATCCAGTGCTACCAGGAAAGTTTGCTCACAGATCCGTTTTTGGTTAAGGCCATCGATTATCTAAGTGTTTATGACGCTGATGTGCTGCTGCACTCAGTTGGTGAGTAAAAGTCGGGAGTAGTAAGGTCTCAAGAGTCTTCGGTACTAGGAAAAGGAGGGATATAAATTGAAATTACTATCCTTTGTTGGCTGGTTTCCGGCCTAGTTTGCTTCTCAAAGTTATGACTTCACAATCACCGCAGGGGGAATACACACGGAAATGCTGACGCTATGTCCCGTCGACCCTGTAATATAGAATGTAAGCATTGCTCAAAAGCTGAGGGTAAGGAAGCCATAATAGACGTCCGGCTAATCAAAGTTACGCAAGCAGAAGAGTGGGAGGCAAGTAACTTAAGGAAATGTCAGCAAGAAGATCCAGATTTAGAATTATTAATGCCCGTGTTGGAGGTAAATAAACGGCCAAGTAAGGAACAAATGGCTGCGGAAAGTGCTATCTCGAAGGCATACTGGTCACAATGGAACAGTTTAGAGCTGATATCCGGCTGTTTGAATAGAGTGTGGGAAAATGAAGATGGCCAGTGCTCCCGGAAGCTAATAGTAGTTCCGATGTTAGGAGTTCCGGATGTTGTTAAGGAATTCCATAACGGTCCTAGTGGAGGGCACCTAGGCATTACAAAAACGCTGGAAAAGATCAAGCAGCGGTTCTATTGGGTTGGCTGTCGGCCAATCAGATGGAATGGTAGAGCGATTCAACCGGACCTTGGAAGAGCACTTACGGAAAGTAGTGGACAAGCATTAGGATGATTGGGATGTCCATATACCCCTTTTCCTGATGAGATATCGGTCCGAAGAGGGGTTTGTCCCCAAAATTTCAATGTAATTGGGAAGGTCCATACAAGGTAATCAAACGACTAAACGACGTAGTGTATCGAATCCAAACCGTTGGGAGTCCAAGAAACAAGATGAAAGTGGTTCACCTGGAGAGGCTTGCTGGGTTTGGAACAGCGAATGTGTCTGATCGGGACGATCAGACTTAGGTGGAGGGCAGTGTTGCGAAATTGCGAGGGTAATGTCAGATGAAATAGAGAAGCCGATAACTAGTACATTCTAGAACGACAAAACGAGAACCTTCGATATCGAACAACTCGATTATTCTACACTTTCGTCTACGAGCAGCCGACTGCTATATAAGGGCGTCACCCAGCTGCCAAGTCAAGTCAGCGACAAAGTGAACTCGTTGGTAACAACATAGAGTATAGCGGAATAAACTATTTGAGTCGTAAAGTAAACGCGTTGGAAATTACATATAAGTAAAGTAGATTGTAAAAGTTTATACAAGTTATTATAACTAGTAAAGTGCATTGTAATTGAATTGTGTATTATTGAGTAAATAAAGTAAAATAACGAAAGAAATTGAAAATTAAGCTGGCGATTAATAAAATGGAAATGTGCGATGTCGATTATCGTAACAACTGAGTTAGAGAATCGCAAATTCGTTAGCGCAAGCGATAAAATTCGCAACTTTGCAATCCGACAGATCATGTCGAGTCGATAAAAGTTACAGAATCGCACTTCTGGTTGGGGAAGAATGTCATCCAGATTGCTGTTAAGCATGAAGGAGGCAGTATTATGGTCTGGGTCTGCATGGTGTCGGCGAAATGTTCAAAAGTACATAGCTGTATTAGAAACTGTTCTTCTGCCTTCGTTAACCCGCATTTTCGACGATACTAATTTAGACGCGGTTCAATTTCAGCAAGACAATGCTTCATTGATTTGTGACAATGCGTTGGTTTAGAGATAACAACATTGTTTTGTTAGATTGGCCTGTGCAGTCTCCAGATCTTAATCACATTGAGCACATGTGTGCTATTTTAAAACGAGCTTAATTCACAGAGTATAACATCATAAACTGTCTTAAATAATGCCTAATTAACGAGTGGTACGCTATAAGTGCGTACGAATATGCAAAGCTTGTACGCAGCATGACTAAGAGAATTGCTGCCGTTATTAAATCGAATATTAATGTTATTATCACTAATTCATTGCATTTTCATTGCATTTTCATTGTTTTACTTATAAAACTTTATTATCTCACTTGTTAAAAAAAAATCAGTTAGTGGGGTGCCTAATATAATACTTGTGGCCAAGGCTGTAGTTCCCACGTCAGTTGCCCATTTGGCCAGAGTATCGGCCGTTTCATTTATTTAAATTATATTACATTTAATTTCATACGTGTGCAGCAAAATGAGAGTACTGTATTTTGACAGCTATGTAGTTATTAGAGTCGGATTTGTCTAGTACATGACCTCATTTGAGCTTCTCTGTAAAAATTGCAATTTTGTTAAGATTGTCTTCTGCCGCAATAGCTACAGCCTTCGCGATTACCCATATAATATATAATTGGCGCTTTGTGGTTTTTTATGAGGAGTTTTATGTCATGTCAGAAATACACTCGGAGGGGTGGGCTTGTGTGGATATACATATATAGCAAAGTATTCGGAAAATATATAGCATTTAACCACTTCAAAGCTCTTTGTAGATTTGTCGAAAGATAATATTTTTATAAATGTAGCAGGTATACATATTAAATACTCGTATATAGAATATCTAATGTTTAGCGTAAACCATACTAACACGGCATGTCTTCTTGTGTGTCCATTAAGATTTGACAAAGATCTTCAGAAGCAATGATGGGTGATAAAGCAGTTATAAAACAATTTTTCGGAAGTGAAAATTAGCTTAGCGATATTGTCCTCTGCTTAATACGCCCGTTGATCCTAACCACACCTTGCCGCATTTAACCAAATCATTTAATACCAATCTCCTTTCCATTAACCATTCTATAGACTATTTCCTTGTTTCAGCTAGATAACCTCGATGAGGCTTATCAGCTTTCCCTGCATAATAATTTCATTTCATTTACCATAATTTAAATCCAATGGAGTGGAGTGAAATTTATCTTTTTATTTTTTCTTCTTTAAATTCAAAAATGTTGTATTTCACTGACTACGGTGTAAATTCTGGGTCGTTCCGATAGAAAACCCCGATTGACATGGGAAACTTTGGATTTTACCACGCGGGGTAAGCGCTGCAAGAAGGCTTCGATCATTTGAGCCAACATATTTCAGGAATACATGAGGTCATATCCCGTCAGCTCGTGGAACGATTTCCCATCACTTCCTCAAAGCCGAAATGAAAAATATTGGTATACGTGTACTTCATTATTTCCTCCAGAACACAGCTGAGCGACAGCATTGATGCCGAAGTAAATCAGCATTGACAAATTGACAATTTCAAATAGAAGACGAATTATATATGCGTTTGGCTTCATCGTCGGCTAATTAGTTTCCGTTGATAACTCTTTCTCTTCCTCTGCTTCCAACGGCGGGTACTGTATCAAGAATTTTTAAAGCTGGATTATTCTTATCCATCCGCTTGATTCGCTGAACTATTTGAATGTCGCCATAACGCCGCCTCATCAGATGTGTCATCATCCATGCTGTAAGAGTGGACAGCTGCTGGCGTGCGCCGATGATATTGACATTATTGGCCTCAGCCACTGAGCCGTGAGCTTTGCTTTCTTCAGGCTGGATAAAGAATCGAAGGATATGCTTCTGGTAACAAACGAGGGAAAGACGAAATATCTCCTGACATCAAACAAATGGTCATCGCATTCGAGACTTGGCTGCTACGTCACATTACCACCAATAATGTCAGCAGAATCACTCTTGCCAACAAGTGCAATTAAAAAGTAAAGTCCTCTCCTGTCGAGGAAAAACCTCATAAGCTAATAATTTGTCTGTCACTGATAACTGCTTCCAATCTGCTTGGCATTGATTCCACTAATCCAGTTGTTTACGTGTAAGGTAAAGCAACAATTCCTTTACTATTTTTGCCGTATGCTTAGGATCGTTGTTCTATTGGAAGATCCAGAATTGATCTAAGCCCAATTTCTCAAGGCCACTAAGCAAATTTTCCTTTAAAATGTTTAGGTAATCAATTTTGTTCATTGCCATCAATAAACACCGTCCTTCCCACTCTACTTGCCGCCATGCACCCCCAAACCATCACCGACCCACCATGCTTTACAGTGGATATAATGTTTTTCTGTCAAACTCTTGATTTTTGTTTCGCTAACTTTTGTATTTCTTTTCTCCCGAAATCTTCGAAATTGCTTTCGTCAAAAAAATTTACATTATTTCAAAACGATTTGTCTTTAGTTTTATATTTTTCCTCAAATTCCAATCGCCGCTTTTGGTTCTGCGTAGAGATGCGGGGTTTTTTTCCTCGGTACCGTACCATACAGTCCATTAGAATGCAAAGTTCGCCTGATCGTGTTGGCACTAACATTGAGTCCGTATGTTCTGAACATTTCTTTCGATAATTTGGCAGCACTCACAGTTGGATCTATCTTCGCAGCTCTCACAACTGACCGTATTTCAGTATTATTAAGCCGCTTTGGTTTACCCAACGTGGTCGATCTTCTATTACACCAAACTTTTTTTACTCCATTATGACTTCTTCCAATTAATGAAGCAATTTCAGGTAACGATTTTCCTTCCTTCTTAAAATTTAACACTAATTTCCTTATATCAGGTAAAGTTTGCTACCCATTATCAAATTGATATGTTGTCCACTAATTTTCAAACGCAATTAATATCCACAGTAAAAAGGGCAGTTGCAATGGAAAAACTATTGATATCGTAAAATGCAAATGTGATGCCTACTACCACATTTGCTAATGATAATTGATTTGCAAAATTTAAGTTTTTTTTACAGCGAAATAAAGAGTGAAATGCATGAGAAAAAGGTGTACACTTTCTTTTGACACTGACTATATTTGCCACCGCTCTAGCTTGTTTAGCTCGCGTGCTGTGTCGTGTTGAGTAAACGTGTGTTCGTGGTGCTCGTCACGAAGATGGAAAAACGAAATAAAGGCAACACTTCGGAAACGTACGCTAAAGTTGTAAAAGTGCATGGGTGATACTGCTATTAGTAGTGCCGAGGTGTTTCTATGTTTAAGGAGGAGTTTAAGGAGGGGCGTGAAAGAGTGCGCGATCTGATCCGTGAAAATCGACTTTTAATAGTTCGAATGTTGGTGTCGGATCTGGGTATGAACCGTAAAACAGTCAGACAAGTTTTAACCAATGATTGTGGGATGAGAAAGTTGTGCCGTGCAACACTGCCCTCAGCGTGTCCCAGTATTTGGTGTCTAAAGGGATTTGCTCCCTAGAGCAAAATCGGTGCTCAAAGCAACCAATTTGGAGTCGATTGAGCACATCCAGGCGGCCGTGACGAGGGTACTCGCGGACATTCCAGTCGAAGCGTTCCAGAAATGTTACTAAGTATGGAAAAAGCGCTGGAATCGTTGCATAACTGCCCATGGGGACTACTTTGAAGGGGATGGCAGAGTTGTAGAATAATTTTTGAATTATACGGTTTTTATGGAATCAGTCCCCTTACTTAATTGTCACACTTCGTATGTACATATCCATATGACAACAACAGATACGGTTTGGTATATATAATTTTACTTGCTTCAATTATATTGTATTATACTCGTACTTACATAGCTTGGGTATGGTGAAAAGCGAAGAACGTTGATAGGTTCGATTTTGTAGACAAGAATTTGGAAACGTATATGTTTTTTATAGTTGTTCATTTAATTATAAGACGAAGCTCCATAAACTGATTTAATAGAAGTGAAGTGAATTTTAAATAGTACATTTGTAAGCATTTAAGTTAATAAATTATAAACTTGATAATGATAAATGAAGAAGAAGCAATTAATTTGCAGATATGTATTTTTAAAGATATATTATATAAATATCCCTAACAGTAAAATAACAAATTTATCTAAACATCGGCCCTTTTGTTTAGACAATTTTTTTCATTTTACTGTTGGAGATAACTATACAATAAAGTTATTTAAAGACTGTCGCGTGTATGTACTATGAGTAATTATTAAAAAAAAAAAACAACATTCACTTTGTGTCAATCCATTATCAAACAAAATTCACCCAAATTAAAATATCTGTGCTAACACTTGTTCTTACAATAATAAGAGTAAATTCCTTGTAGTAATGATGTTATTATTTCCAACTGCAGTTTGGTTTGGTTTTGGATTGTGTTATTGTCATCATATGGTCCGTGAATAATATATGATAATACTTTTAGCAAACCGTTTTTGATTTTATAATTTATTTTAAACTTCAACATTGAAAATCAAAAATGACGGGAGCAATCAAAATCAGCGACATGCATCGGCTTTGAGCTGAAAATTAATTCTTTCTACAGGGTTATACTAAGGATCTCATGGCTAATACGAGTTTACGAGAGAAAGGTTTTGCATAAGATTTATGGTCCCCCACGATCTGGTAACGGCGAATACCGCAGCCGATGGAACGAAGAGCTGTACGAGTTATACGGCGACATTGACATAGTTCAGTGAATCAAAAAACAGCGGTTACGCTGGCTAGGTCATGTGGTTTGGATGGATAAGAATACTCCAGCTCTGAAAGTTTTCGGTGCAGTACCCTCCGCTGGAAGCAGAGGAAGAAGAAGACCTCCACTCCGTCGGAAAGACCAGGTAGGAATAAGAAGACCTCCACTCCGTCCGAAAGACCAGGTAGGGAGCGGTAGAGGACCTTTGGAATCTGTTAATGAACGATTTGGTAACGAAATAAAAAGCTTATACAAAATCTGTAGATAGCGCCTTTTGCTAGAAAAGAAACAAGGCATGATTTTCCTGTGGACATGATGGCAATGCTGTTTAAACCCTTGGCTGTTCAGTAAAAATTCGTTTGGATACGGCATGAATTGTAGATACAAATGACTTTTTTTGGTACCCACAGTTCTATTGCTTGCCGTCACCAATATTTGACATTCGGATCAATAGCAAGAACAAAGTTAGACTTCGGAAAGAAACGAATATAAGATATTCCGCTTTTTGGTCATAAAGACACGTCCATATTTGATGATAGGGGAAATGGTTTCCAAGTTTGAAACCAGTTTTTTATAAGATTGGTCTGGGTGTTAAAGACATACATATGTATAAACTGTTATTTGGATAAAATTTGGTTGTGTTGTCAACATCAACAACAGGTCAATTAATTTATAAGTAAGAGTACATTTCAGCTAAAAGTCCTTGACAATTAAATATGCCAATGCAAAATCAAAATATGTGAGAACCTGTAAAATCCTCCATGACTAACAAAAAATGTGTAAGCATTAATCCATATGTGTATGTAAGTCGATTTATAAATTGTTATATTAAATAAGGATTTGTAAAAAGTTATGAGATTTTTTTACTCGAAATTTGTTCTATTATATTTGCTTTTTAGTTATGAAAAATCTTAGTTTTCATAAGATTGGGTAAAAATATACGCATGTAAAAAAACGTAGAAAGCCTAACTTATGATTGGGTTCAGCTGATTTAAAAGCTTCATCAACATTCGACAAACTAATTTGGAAAGCTATAAAATTATTATTTAAAAATAAGCATATTTTTAAACTTGTAAATTTTTTTGTAGTAGTAAAAATGTTTTGGAACTTTTTACGGTTATTAAAATTGCAAAACATGTGAGTAAAGATATATTTATAAATGTTTGTACACTTTTACATATGAATCTTTGCTGGTTTGTATTATGAGATATACATACACATTTATAATTCAACTTAGAATATTAAAGGGTGTAAAGAGAAGTTTTACGGTATATTTATTGTTTATCCGATTGTTAAACACAATCAATTTTAATAAGAAAATGAAAGAGCGTTAATTAGCTGTGTTTTTGTATGACGAAGTTTTTTTTATGATTTTTTTCCTATTACAATACTCCTACAAAAACAATGGTTCCGAATAGCAGCGCAACTGCTGTCTCAAACTCCACTAATACAGGCCGTCCAGACGTAACAACGAGAACCCTGTTTAAGTGTTGCAAATTCATTCAGCCAATTTTAGCGTCCACATTGTTAAGAGCGCTTTAAAACAGTACCGTTCTGTACGCTAACCAATGCACAACTCGAAGTAAATTGAATTTTTAAACACGAAATTGATTCACAATTTGAATAAATTACGACCAACAGAAGTTTTGCTTATTCAACAGCGAAATAATTTTATAAGAAATAAATATGTGTGCAATGTAAAGAAGGTTTATGTGAAATATATATATATTTATAAGTGAATAATTACAAACCTTGACATTATTTAAATCTAATAAAATACTAAAATGGCTGTTACAAATGGCGATGTCGGTATTGAGGTAAGCTTATAAGAAATTCTTTTAATGAAGCTCGCAATGGAACGCTAAACGAGACGCCAACATATGTTTTCAAATTTAAATTAATCCGCAAGTTATAAAGTGTTGGTGAATGTTACATTGATATTTTAGCAGCTAGATTTAGAAAACTTTTAAATTATTTTTTTTGCAATACGGAAATAATTAATAAATAATTTTAAATTGGCTGAAGTGTTTCACACTTTGGTTAAATAAAACAAAAAGAAATTGACTTAAATACCGAAAAACATGAGTCCTGGCGTGAATTTGTACTTGCAATGCAGAGTTTTGTTTCAGACTCAGTTATTTCTTTGTCCTCGTATTTACATAGAGAGATTTTTATCTATGTAAAAATAGGGCGATTTAAAAATATAATAATTCAAATTCAATTCATATTCATTGATAGAATAAAGTCCTCTCCGACGATTACTACTTTTATAAGTAAGTTTTTTATTTATCTCAACGTTTGATTTTTATCAATTCATTTTGAAGCGGTAGATTCGGTTAAAACTCTTGTTTGTCTATTCGGTTAAAACTTGCCAATAACGTCTGTAGGTATAGACCTGTACACATTCCAAATTTGTATTTCTAAATTATATTTTGTTGTTACAAACGAAAGTTTGCTTAAAAAATTTATAATACCTATACAATACAAAATACAATATGTCTATACAAAGATATTTAATATAATATGTATATTGCCATTAAAGATTAACAGCCATAGAGGCAAAATCTTATACATGAAAAAACCTAAAACATGAAATACTATAGAAAACGGCATAACTCTTGCTTACCGGTTCTAAAAAGCATACATATGTACATACATTTTTCCCTATGTGACATTTCACATTCTGCATTTGGCCTTTAAGATTTGATTAAAAATTTAATTTGATTATAATCAATAATGATAATTATCACAAATATTTATTGTCAGCTCTTTTGGTGCTTAAAACATCATACGTAGATCACTGGGTTAATGTATCCGCTAATTGTTATCAAAAACTTACCCCATGTCTTCCTTGTAACTGTACAGGTTTTTCATTTACATGTATATATACGCAACAATTGCGATTTATTTATGTATGCGCTTGTAAGGCCAAAAAGAAAATAATCTCGAACACAATATATTGTACTATGTCAATTAATTTAAGAAGACAAATCAGACCATAACTAATATTTGGAAAATTTTGTCTACAATCGTAGGGCGTTGAGCGCACCCTAAAATAAAGATTCGTAATACACTAAATACAACTTACTTGCTTGCGTATCCCCCTCTGCAGGGAATGTCAAGCCCTCCGTGTGTTTCTAAAACGAAATGAAACCTCCATTTGTTGCGCTGCAGATCCAAGTAATTGGTTACACGGTAAACAACCTTCTATGCCTTTTGCGGTTCCAATGATTTAAAGAGAACCAACTAGCCATTTTATTGACTGCTACTTCTGTGTGACAACAGTTTTTGGGGTTTCAAGGAAAAACAAGCATAATATTGAATATCCCAGGAATCCTTCAATAACAGGAACTTTTCCTCACGGAGAAGCCTTACCAGCTTCAGGTCCCATAGCAGAATTGGTGCAGAAAAACCAGACGGTACCTATTCTCTTTTTATTTTAACTTTAAGTGTAAAATAATAGTACTCTTAAAACAAATTCTTAAAATTAATTCCAACCACAAATCTCTTAGCACATAAAAGGCAAATTTCTCTTGCGGATTTGTTGAGTAGTGTAATTTTCGCAACACCATGTATCTATATAAAAATAACATGTGTTTTGTACATTGAATCTGTGTATGCACTTAACTAATTACATATACAGTGACTCACAGAAGTATTTCACATTCGAAGCCAATTAAGGAAATCTGATTTTTTTTTTAATTTTTGCTCATTATTTGATCATAAAGTTCCATGCTCTTATAACTCTATTTACTGCTAATCAAATAATCCATAAAAAGAAATCCATTATTCCTCCAACGGTTGGAGTTATTTATCTATTTTTCGTGTTGTGGTCAGATGGCCGTAGTAAGATGACATTTCGTACTAAAAAAACTTCTCTGACAGTTTTGCGTTGATTCAGTTTTGTTTGAGTTTGCGTAAAAGATGGTCACTGTAACAGTAAATCATGCACAATTTTGGCTTCATTCCGGTAATTTTGATGTAAAAGATGCTTCAGGGAGTGGAAGTCCAATTGTCGAAAATCTCGATAAAATCATGGATTTTGTCGAGTCCGACCGTTGTGTAAGCACTGTTTCGATTGCCCATGAGCTAAGGATGGAGAATAAGGATGGATACGAAAAGTAAAAATTAAAGCCTTCAAATTTATGAAAAAATAATGGATTTCTGTGTACTATACCTAACATATAGGGTTTTCTGATAATTGTTATTGAAATACAAATTTATTTTATCTAAAGTGAAGTACAATTGATACAATTTATTTCTGAATATAACATCATTCAAATGGCTTCCACGACTTCTTCTGCAAGAACGGATTCGATGAACACAAATTTTTGAGCACTTTTTCTACTACTTGTGTCATCTGATCTTCAAGACAGGCTCAAATATTTTTATGATGGATGATAGATTAGTACCGTTCGAACTATGTATGTCTTTTGGTGGTTATTGATTTATATCAAAAATCCATGATTTGATAGATAATTTTTCCCTCTTGGAATACAACTTTTCTTTTGTTGTTGTCGCTAAAGTATATTATAAATTATGTTTTGGGGAATGTTGCGGTAGTGACAGCCCTTGGCTGGATACAAATCCTGGTCGTTACTGCCCATCAGGTCATCGAACAGAACTATTGACTCAAATATAAACTGACCCCGTTTAAGTTCCACTTATAACTTGAATACATGTTTTGCAAAAAAATATGGGCCATAAACATAGTCGTGAGTTAGAATACACTTTAGTTAGACCACATCAAGAAGATAAAGCGCACTTGACTTTTTATCTATAACAGCCAGTTTGGTGCCATGCTCTAGGAAGAGCTACTTTATGCAGTCTTCTTCCATTTTAACGTTAATTCAAAGTTTCTGCTTTATAATTATTATATATTTTTTTTTGATAATTTAAAAATTACAAATTTTATTGACAATCGTATTTAGTTAATTGAAATGTGACCATCTGTGATTATAAGCATTTGTGAACTGTAGAGTAAATGAAAAATGATCTGAAAAATGATCTGAAAATGATCAAAACTGAAAAATATACTAGAAAGGAATTCAAGCATTTAGATTAATGTCTTCAAATTACGCATAAATATGTTAGCGTTGGTCGTTCCTCTAGAGCTGCTGTTCTTCCTCTCTTATTCGTCAGTTCTTCTACATATAAAATTTTATTAAGCACCTTTGTTTTTTATTTAAGTTACATATTATCTAAAGAAATAGGCCTCCTTTCAATAAAATGGAAAATTCGCTTTGACCTACATTATTGTCATTATCGGTAAATATAAATTCGATAAAATGGCGAATTTCTTTCGAATAAGACATATTCACCATTTATTTTTTACAAATGCTCTGCGTCAATCGGTATCTTTTTCATTTGGTTAAATGAGGGGGCAACAAATTATTATGCTGTCAAAAATTTTACAGTTTGCTGTGCTAAATGAAATTGTAAGTTTTGACGCAAGTAAAATAAAAGCTCGTTAAGAAGTTGCATATATTTCTTGCGCACTGGTAAAAAATTTAATGTAATACGAAGAAAATACTTTTCTATATTGTTATTTACACCAATAAAACAGAAAAATGAATTCATCAATGTTTTGTTGTTAATTTGTTATATTCTTCATAGCATTTATTCAAATGTTTGTACTCACCACGAAAAATGTCAGAACTTCAAGGTGGGTTGTCAAAATTTACAATTTTCACCCAACTAGCACACAGCCTTAGTTGCGAATTGAAATTTATTTAAGTTTCAAAAAGTTAACAACAGCTTTAGTTTTTCTCACTGTAAGTCGACTATAAGTTTATCTTAATTTTTATCTTAGTGCTCTTTTGGTTGGGGCTGGCTGGTATACAAGTTTTTATGTTTTTGAAATAGTTAATAATATTTTTTTTAGAATTGATCCATGTACATGTACATATGTACTTTCAAGACTTTGCTAATTTATATTTATACGTGAGAATCAAGTTGTGAAGCCTTTCCATGCTATTAAAGTTCAGGGCTGAAAACCAGAAATTATTCTATTAAAAAGTGTTTAGATTAAGATAGTTTCTTAATTTCAATTTTAAACGTAACATAAGATATTGTTCGGGCAGGGACTGTTTTTTAATATAATTTAATGTTAAAATATTTATGGTGGTTCCATATTTATTCTAAAATTAGACCCACTGATCCTTTATATATCTCAAAACACACTATATTTACCTACAATACTTAAGGACAGTCTTGAAATTGGAAATTGCAGACCAGCGCGTTTCTTACGCATTGATATCTGCCATAAATTATGCTGATGCAATTACAATTAATTAAAGGCTTCATATCTATCTAGCATTAAACGTGTTTTGATTTTTCGTGCTATCCTTCTATCTTAAAAAAAAGCTACCATTTAAAAGAAAAAAAATATGTGGGGAGTTTTATTATTTTTTATATGCTTAAACGTTCAAAAATCATGTAGTATATTATATTTTGCAACCCCTAATAATAAACTTCATCATTGTTGTAATACAACTTTGGTAAAAAGTATCAGTAAAGGAAGAGATTCCCGGACAAACTAACTGCCAAATATATTGATATTAGACAGTTAGTTAGATAAACATCTTTTGATAATAGCTGTGTTGGTTCTACGAAGAAGATTCCTCTATTTTGCAAAGTTCAGGAGATTAATGATGCCTAGATATGTAAGATATGCTAGGAAATCGAAGGAGAAATTTCCGAGAAATCGATAACGGACCGCAGAGTTTACCGGGGTTATGACTATCACTATCCGCTCAGCTCATCGACCCCGCAGTTCACTGGGTGTCCCTATAACCACAGCCCCAAGTCCCGAGCTTTTGGCATATAGTTGAGAAAATCTAAAAGCCTTAGATTCGAAAAAAAATGAAAAATTATTGTCAAATTAGTTATCTATCTAGCAAATCGTTTTCTTACTTTAGCCGCCTATGAAAATCGGCTTGAAACAAATATTTGAATTCATATCATGTGCTTATAAAAATTAAAAAAAAAAAAAAAAATGAGATCAAACATTTAGTGTAAAAAATTTCGAAGAATTTTTGTATCATGAATTTGTGTATAACTGAAATAAAAATCTCTTTATATTTCTATGCAAGCCGAACGCTTTTTTCTCTTACTTGTCTTGAAATATATTTGTATCTAATCACTCTCAGAATTTGCTGAGAAAACTGTTATGAATATACAATACTTGCGAAAAGAGTTAAACCAAGTATTTGAACACTATCCATGTACATTAACAAGCATATTTAAAAGTTTAAGTACTGAGTTTTTACATTGAATTGTTTGTACCCATTAGAATATATGTTCTTGTATTAAATATTAAAACGAACTGAGAAACCAATGTAAAGTTCGTTGTGGTTCTCTAATATATACATACATATATGTACAGATATTTAAATACTAAGAACTGAAAATAAATACGTATTATAATTTATTTCTTCCAGTAATACGAGGTAAATGGAAAAATACAGCTTCCTAAGAATAAGTGTGCGACTATACACGTATTTCTTTTAAGTGGTTTGAATGCCACGTGCAAAAGGGAAATCACCTATAAATATTATATATTATCAACTAGTAAGGTGAGATTTATGTTGGGCGAAACTCATATTAAATAGTAAGTTAAGTCAATGAGTATGTTCAACTAAAGGAGCCTTTGACCGAACGCACTTGGCTCTCTTGAAAGAGATTCACCCCCCCCCCCCCCCCCCCCAGATATTTAAAACAATTATTTTGTTTTACCAAAAAAATAATACCCGATCTTACTGACCCTTGCCGCAAAAGTAAAAATTAGCGAAGAAACACACAACGGGGCAGTGACAGAAGTCATTAGAGAAATAATCCACTCTTCTAACAAGACTCCCAAAAAAGAAATAGATTTTTAAGATTTTATTTAATATGAGTCGAAAGTGGGGAGAGCAACAATACACTTGCCAATATGGGTCCTGAGACGCAAGCGAGCTCAATGTTTTGTGGCGCATTATATATGTATATATATATATATATATTTGACACTTTAAAATATATTTCATATAAATCGTGTAATAGGATTGATTTAGGGACTGCGAAATAATGCGAATGCGAAAGTTAAAGGTCAAAAATAGTAAAATATGTATATTTTTTAATTAAATGTAATAATTATTTTTGTATAAATTGCAAATGGAAAACTATAAAAGCACACTTAAACTAGTAATATGTTGATAACAATAATGCAATGGAACGAAAATCAATAGAGAAAAATTTCTAAAATCTCAAAAATAGAAAATTTTGCACTTGAAGTTTATTTAATTTATATATGTACCCATTATAACATGGGGAGAATAAAATTTATATACTAAAAAAGTTGTATTTATTTGAAAAAAAGATTAAATTTTTCTCAACCCTCAAGCAACTTCTTGCACTTAGGTTTATTTTTCATAAACCAAAATTCAAAATTTGATCTCGACTTTAAATCAGTAAATTCATTGTTTTAGGTTGTATTGAGATCGAAAAAAATATGTTGCATGAAAAATTTAGCTTTTGCTTTTTAGGGACTGATATATCGTTTAAATATTTTTTAAATTCCGTAGATTTTATAATTTTTTATTTTCATTGTTTTTATTAAGTTAAAAATTCTAATGTGCACCTTTTTCACATTTTTGTTTGTTTGTATTGTATAAGTATTCCTTTTTACTATTTCATTGTTCGAACCTCATAAAGTCCTGAAGAAAACCCTGCTCCTGTTCTTCTGAATACCCTCCAATGTTATTTTTAAATTTATTTAGTTGAGTAAGCAGTTACTTACTTTACTGGCGTAGACACCGCTTACGCAATTTTAGCCGATTTTATAACATCGCGCCATTCATTCCTTTTTTTGGGGATACATAGTATAGCCAGATCCCTTCCTCTGCTTCCACCAGCGAGTACTGCATTGAAGACTTTCAAAGATGCAGTATTCTTATCCAGACCACATGACCTAGCCAGCGTAGCCGCTGTTTCTTGATTCGCTAAACTATATCGATGTCCCCATATACATTATACAGTTCATCATTCCATCGGCTGCGGTTTTCGCCATTACCAACTCGAAGAGGACCGTAAATCTTACGCAAAACCTTTCTCTCGAAAACTCCTAACGCCGCCTCATCAGATGTTGTCATCGTCGCTTCATATAGCAGGAGCGGAACGATGAGGGACTTGTAGAGTTTGGGCTTCGTTTGTCGGAGGAGGACTTTACTTTTCAATTGCCTACTCAGTCCAAAGTAGCAAAGTAATTTACCAGGTCAAAAGCCGCACTGATAAGTTCCAAACAGTTTGTTGACGGCGGCTTTTGTCTTTCACACAATACGCTTGACAGGACCTTATATTCGATATTAAGGAGGTTTTTCCCACGATAATTGGTGAATTGGCATTGTAGCCGTCGAGCATGCTTTCGTCCGACCATATTCTGCAAAGCACCTTGTCAGCTGTTCACCGCCATGTTTTAATAGTTCTGCCGGTAGGGCGTCAACACCACTTGCTTTGTTGTTTTTTAAGCGGGCGAGTGCTATTCGAACTTCTTTATGATCAGATAATGGAACGTTTTTCCCATCGTTATCAGTTGGGGTTACGGGTTCACCATCTTTGTATGCTCCAATTTCACTGCCATTCAGTAGGCTGGAAAAGGGTTAGCTCTACATATTCAATATGCTCTGGGGTTGCTAGAGCACCTCTTTGTGTTCTACAAGAGTCTGCAAGCATTGTATTTACATTTAATTGACGAGATCTTCTGATTATCTCCAGATCTTTGGTATTTCAAATTTCATAGACTTTTTCATTATTGACACCACTCTTATATTTGGTTCATTGCTCAATTAAAACTGCTTATCATTTACAGTAACTATAAGCAACATGTAGTGTCCAGGGCGATATTTCTCATAGTATTAAAATAATTAAATTTTTTTCAAAAAGATTAAAATTAATTTTATTGAAAAGGCTATTCTCAATTCGTTTTGTGCATAATTCGCCGGAAAATCATAAAATAAAAAAATATTTAGATTTGATTGTTATCACTTACACACATAAGTATCTAAATATAATTGTAACGTAGACTCAGGCAAGTAATACATTATTTGTGTTTGTATTTATTTGTTTACCTTAATTATTTGCCTTTGTTTATTTATTATCAATGTTTTATTTCCCATTAGAAGTTCAAGTTCATGTTGGCTAATCAAACGCTGGGTGCAAAATTCGTGTAAATAGGAATTTTACAGGTTGTGACGTTGAATGAATCCGGTATTAGCTTTAGAAATCTAAAATTATCTAACTTTTTGCAAACTAATTAGCTGACATGCATTTATGTATGTGCGTACCAGAATACAGTTATACAGCATATGTTAGTATGTTTACATTGCATTTCTTTTTTTTTCTATTTTAAATAGTGATTAGTGCGGTATAACACGTGTAACAAATTGTAAAAATGTTTCTTAACTACGAGTAACAGTACAAATATGAAAGCTGAGTTAATAGGAAAAGCTTTAAGCGTCAATAATTGAATCAGTACGAACATATTTATATGTACGTAAGTACATACATACATATATACAAAGAGAACAAAAAATTATGTTAACAACTATAGCTGCCTGAATCGATTTATGACAGAATTGCATTATTACATCACCGCTTACAGTGTCTTAAAAGCTATATATAATACATACGTATGCGTGTGGAGTCAGACTTAAATCTTGTAAGGGGGGAACCTGGTTTAGAGGGTCAAAAAAATCGATTTTTTTAAACTTATCTCGTTCGATTAGAAATATATTCAGAAATATTTCCACAAAATTTCAGAGTCAAATTCCTAATCGTTCCGACAATGCGAAGAGAATGCGCTCAAAAGACTGATAAGCGGGCGCGAGAACTTTGAACGGGATTTTCTCAAAACAGTGTTTTTCTGTTTTGTGCATACAATTAAAAAAGTTGTAATTGCCGCATTTTTATAAGTGATACCTTTTTTTACAGCTAATAGTGTGAACTTAAAATATCACAAAAATATATAATTTTATACATTTTCGAATATCTTAGGATCACATAGGTGAGCAACTCTTAAGCTACAAAAAAAGTATTCGTTTTTGTGTTTCAAAAGAAAACTACGATCGCTATCGTGTTCATAAAATAGACTCTTCGAGCGAGAAGTGCCACAAGCAAATACGAATTGTTATTGCTTAACAGTATCAAATAAAGTGAAAGAAAATTTTTTTTGCAAGATTTGTGTATCTACTTGAAACATTTCATACTTAAAGCAACTAAAAACACTGTGCCGAATATCATGCAATTTTTAGCGTTCTAAACCAGGTTCCCCCTTAAGTAACTACTCCAGTACGCGCGATGGCGATTGCCTATTAGTATGTAGAATCTTACATGCTCTAGTGTCTATCGCTAACGTACCATTTCATTCCGTCTCGGTATTTTTTTTCGGTATATGCATTTTGCATAAGCTTTTATTGCATGTGTTATGCAGCTCTGCCTGGTAACGAAATTAGCATCTCTCACTCCGGCCAAGGTGGGGCGACCGTTTTAGCCGAGGGGTTAGCATTGCCTTCTGCCATTCGGAAGTCCAGAGTTCGAACGCTGGTTCGATCAACATCCAAATTTATAGAAAACTAATTTAAACAAAAAATTAAGTTAAATTTTCTAATTGCAGTCGCCCCTCGGCAGGGAATGTCAACCTCTCTGAGTGTATTTCTGATATCAAATGATGGTTCCTCATAAAAAACTATCAGCCGTTGGGAGGCGGATTAGTATAAATTTTAGGTCCTCCATTTGTAGGGAAAACAACAAGACATATATCACAAATTGGATAAGGAGCTCGGCCGAAAATCGCATTAGCGATTACAAAGCGCCAATTATTTATAAGGGGCGTCACCCCCTCCGTGACCTAAATCCGTTCATTTCAACGTCACGTGGCCCCGTGCTGGCAGTATTCAACTGCGCCCCTAGCCTTCACGGCTGTTCCCTGCCCACTATTGGGAAACCATCTAAAAACCTCTACGATTCTACGGAGTGTCCCGCCCCGACCCTGCGCGCGAACTGTTCTTATAGCACTGTATTTTTCAAAAGCTTTTCAAGTCAATCATTCAGTGTTACATTGGAAGACTCCTTATTACCGCTTCGCTTGAAGAAGTTGATCATGGGCTACTTGAGTGGTCGAGAAACATCGATTGAGTTTTGTTTGATTCGAAGCTCTCCCTTTTACCAGAGAGCGTTTCACTGATGTCATATGCTGATGATTGCACGATTTCTTGGACCTTGCATAACCTTGATAACTTAGACAGATCCTGCCTATTCCGAAGCAAAGTTGGACTTACTGCAGGAACAACAACATGAAGCCAGAAGCGCGTTCCTAGCCAATGGGCTTTTATATTTTAATTTAGTTTTTAGGGTTTGATAAGTTATTGTGAGGCTTCTGATATCGAAGTAGTTTCAGTAAATATTTATTTATTTTATTTATTTATTTGAATCATAATTATAAATAATTATATTACAAAAGTAGAGACACTAGCTACTAAGGCTATCGGCCTGAAAGTATTCCAAAGAGATTTTTATAGGAACTTATAAACTATTCTCAGAATAATGTAAAAATGTAAAATGTATTTTGGGATTATATATAATGTACCAATTTATTTTGAAAGATAAACTCAAAGATACGGTTAATGTTGTCTAGTGATGGAACCTTTAAGAATATAGACGGTTTTTCAATTCCGAAGATGTTTCTCATAGCGATTTTAAATTTTAGGCATTCATCGAGGATATGGGATGTCGATAGTGGACAATTGCATGTAGGACAAGTTGCAGCTGGGCTCCCAATAAGGATGTGTTTGAGTGTAATCATCGTGTGTCCTAGTCGAAGACGCGTAAAGACTTTTACTTTTTTTTTGAGGGAAGAAGATTTGGTGGGTAGGGTTTTGAACGTGTTGGATTTATTGTTTTGTAGGGATATAGGTACGATACCCACTTATCATCAGTGCGTCTTTTGGAGGCGAAATTGATTAATTTCAACATATCGGCCTTCAGTGTAGGTTGAAATGTAAGACAACGCACTTGAGAGGCATTTTTTACAGCTTTATCAGCATATTCGTTTCCAGCGATTCTGCAGTGGCCTGGGATGCTGCTATAAAAGCTAGGTCGGAAACCTATTCAGCGGTTAAAAAGCGACGACTGCATACGAGTATATTGTATATTCGAGGCAAAAAGCTACCAAAGTACTAAATTGCAAGCAAATCGAGTAGATTGGTCAGCAACTACTTGGGTACGCAATGAGGTTGGTGATTCGGCACACCGCTGAGGTTTCAGGTTCACCACCTCCGGTTGCTCCAATTTCCATAGGGTTCAAGCAGTTCACGACTCCCGGTTTTAAACCAAGTATCTTCCGGATAGCTGTTAAAATAAAATCTGACTTTCATAGTAATTTTATAAACGCAAATGTGTATGAAATGTTTTAAATATATAACTATGTTAGTAGTAATGACTGAGATATAACTTTCCATTTTACGTTGATGTCCTGGTTGATGTCGTCAAAAGATCAAAGGCTAGTATCACCGCCGTCCACGAAGTGCTATGGACAGAATAAGGACAGAAGAAGGTAGGCAAAAAAAATTTGACGTTGAACTTGTGATGAGAGAGAGACTCCGCACCGTTTACTGGTATTCACTGCGGCGGCTGAGCCTCTCGCCGCCAGCACCGATTTGCCCTCACGCCCCGACGGAAGACAGGGTGATGAGATCAATGATGGCTTTTATGAGCGGTTGGAGCAAGCCGCGATGTCAAAAACGTGCTTGGCGACTTCGACGCTAGGGTCGGAACAAAAAGTCGGGGAATTCAGACTCCATGAAAAAACAGCCCTAAATGGGCTGAGGCTGATCGACTTCGCCGAAGACCGAAATATTGTTTTGTATAGTACTAGATCCACCAAGCTACCTAGCTGTCTGTAGATCGATCATGTTGTGATAGATTCACAAAACGTATCAAGTGTGTAAATGTGCGTACGTTCCAAAGTCATAACCTCGACTCGGTTCGCTATCGCCTCTGTGTATCAATGTGATGATGATGGAAACCATGATCAATTACTCGACTATGACTAGGCTCAAATATCTCATAGTCACATATGAGGTACTATCGACTAACTGATTGTCTTATCAGTGTGGATTTAGACCTGTTTGATTTAAACCGTTGATAAGATAGTAGCTTAGTAAATTTTTGAAATACCCTGACCGCTATGCTTGAATTTGGTATCATCACAAAAGTTATACGGCTGTGTAAGCTGATGCTGGGCGACACCACAAGGGCAGACACTGTGAATCTTTATCGTGTGTTTTTTCAATTGGGCGATGGGGAAAATAATAAGAGCTGCAGGGCGAAGTAGATAAGGTACAATCTTTTACAAGAAGTATAACTGTTGGCATATGCCGATGGTATTTACACCACGCCGTTAATTATGCTTTCTCCAGACTTGATAAAGAAGCAGAGCGAATAGATCTGGTGGTAAACCAGGACAAGACGAAATATCTGCTGATGCATTCGCGAGACGGTTCAAACGTTGACAGTCATTTGCTTCGAGGTCATAGATAATTTCGTCTATCTAGGGATCAGCACAGGCAATTGCGACTACTGCAGAAGATGAAACGATGAGCTGTACGAGTTTTAAGAATGATATTGACATAGTTTAGCAAAAGAAGAGATAGCTGCTATGCTGGCTGCGTCATGTCGTCCAATTGGATGGAGACATTCCAGCTTTAAAGGTATTAGTTGCAGTAGCAGCTGGCAGAGGAAGAGGATTCTCGGCGATGTAAATATGGCGTGGTGAATGGTTAGCTAGCTTCAGTTGTTGTATGACCTGAGTTTTACATGACGAATAACCTTATGTGTATGTCTATAACAAGCATTTTAAATAATGCCTTTGGATTTAGAAAATTCAATTAATACATTATATGTATATACAAACATATATATTAATCCATATATACATATGTAACATACATATAGTCGACTTATCTATCTAATATAATGATAAAAAAGTTATTTATTCGCGATAATCTGGTGCGCATCAAGTCATTTCTTCCATTATTTGTATATATGTGTACGCAAATACGTACGGGGAAGCCCTAATTGTTATTTGTATGTTAATGTACAAACACACAGATCTATTAAATCAATTACTGTAAGTGATTAAGTAATATATTTTATGCATGCATATTTCATTTGTTTTGTCAGTTGATTGAAATTAATATGAGCAAGTAAGTAAGAAGAGGCATAATCGGATGGAGCCAAACATTAAATTACGCAAACGCGTTTTAGTCCTTTTGTGAACGTCAGGCAAACGGCCTGGTGTTTAACGCGTGTAAATATCAGCCCAGTATCTAAACGTAGTCTTTCATGCTTGTTTTATTCGATCCTTTTCGATCAGTTAAGTACAACATATTAGACCTTAAGTAAACAAAAGAAACGAAAGTAACTAGTTACGTTAGCTAAACCGACATTAAATCGTCTTGGATTTAAATATTTAAACTAAATAATCGGTACTTATTTTTGAAAATTAAATATCGAGGATAAAAATCTATAACAATTTCAATACAACATATAGTATATATTTTATGTATATGTATGTACATATTTGTTGATAATGGATGTCTTTCCATTATAATGCGGTGTTGACATAGTTTTGGTTTCAAACGGATAATATTATGTTCGATACAATGGACTAAAGGCCGGGGTGTACATCCTCTACATTATCTAAGGAGTTCTTTGTATAGTTATGGAATGTTGCACCGAATATTAAACATCTGACCCTTTAGAGTATATGAAAAAAGGATGGAGGAAGGGCAAAGAATTATCACACTTTTAAGCGCAACTGACGAATTTGTTCGCGTTAAGTAGGCTCATAGAATGGAACAATGTTTCATATATGTACATACACATATATATATATGTACATACATACATAATATATTCGAGTACTCCTAGAAGAGCTTAATTAATTTATAAAGAACATTAAAGCTATTTAAAACACCAAAATGGAAGCGAGTAAGGAGAGTCTATCACTTTAAGATTTAATACCTAAAACACACATCGCCCTTCATTAGAAAGTGTTGGATGAAAAAAATTAAAGGTTGTAATGTCTCGAATTTTTAATTATTTGGGACTTTATATGACCCAATGGCATTACTTTACAATAAATTATGGTAATATTTTTATATTAAAAACCTTTAATTTTATGGGATATACACATAATATGCTCAGTATTTGATTCTATTTGTCAAGTCCAGGTACGTCCGCGCTTTAAAAACATTTTCTTTGTTGGCATTTTGCCTGCTTAAAATACTTTACGAATCAGTTCTTTTGCATGCACATACATATGTACATGTGTAAGCGCGTGACATAAAAAAATAATCTTTAAATATCTTACTTTATTAACGCTCACAAGTTATGAAGCACATAATACATATTTATAAATATACGTATATACCTATATGTGCAATATAAGACAAATAACATTTTTGTTTCATTTTTTCCACTGAATAATTACGTTTGAATTTGACAAGAGAAAATCGTGCGGTCTGTTTGAACAACATTTCAATTTGTAAATATTTACTACACATTAAATTCAGCTGAGTAAATACTTCTCAGAAGAGCTTATGAAAAAAGCAATGCTGCACGTAATTGCACATAAGTTTACAAATTTAAAATTATTCGTAAACCAGAGTATGAATATTTTTACTGATTTTCATTCACTCAGGATATTTGCAAGTAATTTTCGACCTCTCATATTCGGGTATGATCACACAGCAATGTATGCTTCTCTCATTAAAATGTTTATTTCCTAAAAATAAGCTAAACTACAAAAATTCCTTGTTGCGCAAGAAATTTTGTATTGAGAAAATTTATTTATGCGCAGTTAGGTGCGTTCTATTAAAACTTTTCTGTTTGTCTGCTTAATTTTTCCGGCTAAGGTGTCTTGCTTAAAGCCACAATAGACCCCTTAAAGATTTTTATCTGTGAAACCGCCATGGTTTATAAGTAAAGACAGTAATATTGAAAATACTTACTTCTACTACTTTGCTTCTAATTTTAAATATACTCGTAAATAACTAAATCTAAAGTTTCCAAAATATAATCGGCAGATGACCAGAAAAAGGAGCAAAGGTAGTGAAAGCAACACTGTAAACGACACCATAGAGCGTCCCAATTGGTCAAATGGTTTAGAATTTCTTATGTCCTGTATCTCAATGTCTGTTGGGCTTGGAAATGTGTGGCGGTTTCCCTTTACAGCCTATGAAAATGGTGGCGGGGCCTTCCTTATTCCATATATCATTGTGCTCTTCTTAATTGGTAAGTGTTTCTATACATATCATATGAATGATCATATGTACATTAATACATAGATAAAAGTAAAATTTGAACTTTTTTCTTACAAGGAAAGCCAATGTATTATTTAGAAATGATATTAGGACAGTTCTCAAGTAAGGGATCTGTGAAAATTTGGAGTGTATGCCCTTCATTCTTAGGTATGTAAAGGCTGTGTTGTTTATATTTACAAGTTATTGCTTTCAAAGTCGCAGATTTTACTAATGTTTCTTTATATTATGTATGTATCTTTATGTACTTATGTAGGCGTTGGATATGGCCAAGCATTGGCAACTATTTGCATCATCACATATTATTCATCTCTTCTGGCACTGACACTGTACTATTTAGCTGTTTCCTGTCAATCGGTGCTACCTTGGACGCATTGTCGACCTGAATGGGGAAGTTATTGTGTGGATTCCAATCCGATTGGGAGAGTTCGGGATGTCACAACCTTAAATTCAACGATTCAACTTCAAAGCAGTTCAGAGATGTATTTTTTGTAAGTATGAAAATTATATGTGTATTGAAATGGGACGCTTCCACAAATTATATTCCATGTCGAATTTACGGGCATATTCTGGTCAAGTTAGACCCGTCTTTTATTATCATTATCACTTAAGCCTGCTCTGAAGTTAGAGTGGGAAAAGCAGTTGCTAACTTTTTGAAATTTAATTAAATTCTATTTCGCATCGGTTTTATTCCGATCTCCCGATTATCGTTTAGACAAAGTTGCTTTTTGTTGCTTTAAAACCGCTTTCCATACATCTATTTTTATGCTCGTGATTTCTTCTCGTAATCCTATTCCTACTCTAGATATTTTCTTCAATTTGTCCATTTGAAGGTCATTTTCCATTTGTGTGGTCCATAAGTGCTTACAAGCAACCAACTCCACTAGTCTAGTGCTCTTCTAGCCTAATTTCCAATGCAAACACAAAAGTTTGTATATGCTAGATACTTCAACAAGCTTTTAATAATTATTCATACAATTTTTATATTTTGAAGCATCTTTGTAATTCTGATTAGCGATTAATATTATACTAATTTGCTCACTTTTTCATTTACCAACTTATTTAAGAAAAGAGGTTATAAAAGAGAAGGAAGATATCTATGATGGGCTAGGTGAGCCTGGATGGAAGTTAACTATTTCGCTTTTTGTGTCGTGGGTGGTAATTTTCCTAGTAATCATGAGAGGTGTGAAAAGTTCCGGCAAAGCAGCTTATTTTTTAGCTTTGTTTCCTTATGTGATACTCTTCGCGCTTCTAGTACGAGCAGTCACTTTAGAAGGAGCTGTTAATGGAATAATGTTTTTTCTAGAGCCAAACTGGAGTGAATTACTTAACCCAAAGGTAATTTGACAACATTTATATATTAGAAATTTATATAACATATTGTACAATTTTTACCATCTACTTTTTATCAATAATAATAAAACCAACTTAATGGCAGGAAATGAATATGCTTAAATAATATTAAATATTTCTTGCTCAAGGTTTGGAAGGAGGCTGTCGTACAATGTTTTTTCTCGCTGGCAGTTGGGTTTGGGCCTATCGTTATGTTTTCCTCCTACAACCGCTTTGACCATTGCATTTACAGGTACTTAAATGTTCTCTTAACTATAATAAATATTCTCTTAACTATAATAAATGTCTGTTGCAAATTGTTTAAAAGCATTGTTGAAGAATAAATCGTCCCCCTTGATTTAGTAAATCTGTATTACCTGTACCTGAATTTTTAAATAAGTATTATATTATTTTTGATTCCAGAGACGCTATGATTGTTACATCGTTGGATACCTTAACCAGTCTTCTAGCAGGAATATCTATTTTCGGCATTCTTGGAAACTTAGCTCACAATCTTCAGATTACAGACATTAAAGATGTCGTAAAAAGTGGAACAGGTCTTGCTTTCATATCATATCCCGATGCCATTGCTAAGTTTCGAGCAGTACCACAAATGTTTGCAGTACTTTTCTTTTTCATGTTATTCGTGCTTGGAGTTGGGTCCATTGTGGCGTTACATTGTACTATTGTTACAGTAATATGTGATCAATTTAAATCGCTTCGATACTGGAAGGTGGCTCTATTAACAAGCATTTGTGGATTTTTGGCGAGCATAATATATGTTACTCCGGTAGTAAATGTTTTATTTTGTTCCACATCACACGTTAATATTTGGTATTTAAAATTTTCAGGGAGGGCAATGGATATTAAATTTGGTAGACTACTATGGTGGAACTTACGTAATATTTGGACTAGCTATTCTAGAGACAGTTGGCATTTCATGGATCTATGGTAAGCTGAAATCATTCAATATTTGTTTTCTAACACAAAAAGAGTAAGGAAGTGCATTAAAATAATTTATCAGAAATTATTTAGTTCATATTTAACAAGAACTTATTCAATGTAACTTATTATGTATGTGGGCCAAAGTTCTTGAGGGTATTCCCGTCAATATTAGAAGAATTTTTGTTTTTGTTTAGTTACACAAAATGTAAGTTTATCGTTATTTGATGTTATAGTATTTATTTGCTATGGAATTTTTTCTTTTCAGGAATAAACAGTTTTTGTGATGATGTCAAATTTATGACGAAAAGGGAAGTCTCTCTCTATTGGCGGGCATGTTGGGCTGTCTTAACTCCAATATCAATGATAATAATTTTCGTATACTCACTGTCGACTATAAAACCTTTAACTTATAGTGGAAAGCTATACCCAAATTCAGCTAATGGTAATTTATTTATTTATTTATTTATTTTTTATTTTGAATTTATTTTTTATTTTGAATTTTTTTATTCTAAAATAATATTTTCCGGACTTTCACACATTTGTTCTTTAATAATTTTTTTTTATAGCCAGGCACTTAATAAATATTTTTCGTCTGACTAAATTTCAAAGACATTCATTAATATAACTTATTATTCAGGAGTATGAAATTAAATTTTTTTCTCTTCATTAATTTCTTATATTGTCGAGCAAAAAGTATTTTTATCTTTACTACTAAATCATCCCGTAGTATATAATTGACACTTTGTAACCGCTAGAACGATTTTTGGCCGAGCTCCTCCTATACTAAGCCGCATCCGAAAGGTTGATAGCTTTTTATGAGGAGCCATCAGAATTACAGTCGTAGGGGTTGACATACTCTACCGAGGGGCGACCGCAATAAAAAAATTTAACTTAATTTTTTATTTAAATTAATTTTCTATAAATTTGGATGCTGATCGCACCAATGCTAACCCCTCGGCTACTGCAGCCGCCATTATTAGTATTATTTTCAAAAATTAAATATTATTGGAGCTCGAGATAGAAAGTATAATTATTTTTGTGTTATTTAATGTACTATTCTTTAGTTTCTGGTTGGATACTCTTCGCCATTGGAATGTCTCAGTTTCCTCTTTGGGCTATGTGGTATATTTGGCTACATTGGAATGAAGGCCTATGGAAGGTATTTATTTTCCTTAATGTATCTCAAATAAAAGTTTTGATATATACTTTTTTGTGTTATTTATAAATATAGTCAATTAAATCATCTGTAAAAGCAAGTCCCAAATGGGGTCCATCAAATGCCCTTGATAGAAAGGAGTGGATAGCATTCAAAGCGAAATGTTTGGAGCAACGATCGGAACGATCTTCTAACAGTAAACTATCACAATTTCGTCAAAAAGTCCAGAACTTTTTCAGGTCGTCTTAATAATCTTGACGATGTATTTTTAAATATTTCCTAAATTATTTTCGAGTTTGAATGAACTTTTACATAAAATGTATTATTGCCCTTGCCGTTTGAACTATAGTTTTTACATTTGTAAATAAAGTAATAGTTTTCATATTTATATGTATAACCGCCGGACTTATCGAATTTCATCATGCAGCGATGTCAAACCTTGAAATTAACTCCAGAGTGGTAATAAAACATCGAAAGCAGGGTATCTCATTCGAGGCGTTTTCATTGGCAGGTCCCAAGTCCAGTGCACAACTTCGCTAGGCGGGAAATTTTAAATTTACCACACATTTATATAGCGGTCCCCTTTCTTCAAGACTGATGTCCGTTCGAAACCGTGCTTCAGAGCAGAAGCTACAATTACACTTCAACGAACCCCTTAAGTTGAATATATCGGAGTGGCTCCGCTGAAGATTGCTTTCTTTTATTGGTGACCTAAGGCTCCACACAAGTTAGCTACCGCAACTTGCGCATGTGTTGCCCACGTTTCCCGGGTCCGCGATGCCGACTCAAGAATAAAAATTGTATAAAGCCCAGCGACTGTAACTGCATATGCAGAAGCTTGGCTACCAACCAATACACCAAAAAAAGGGGGGATCCCACAGTGGACGCCAATTACTATTGGCTAAGCCTTCACCATTGATCAGATTTTCACCATGTGCTAAAACTCGGAAAAGACGAATAGAAAAACGGATCATTAATCATATCCTCGTCGATTTTAACGCAGATTTCAACAGCCCGAAAACTTACTATATTTAAACACCAAAAGTTTCATCAAAGGACCATACGTATCGCAGATCTGATTAGACGTGGTACAAATTTCTGCATAAACACCAACGACGTGATAGCCTTGATATTCAACGCAGAATCAGTTTTTCTCGGTTATATACCGGATACGCTGTTAAGGTTTGGGGTCCGAACAGATAAGATTACTCCAGTTTTAAAAATATTCGATGTAGACTCTCCGGTAGAAGTAGAGGTAAAGGATTACGTGCACTCCGGCGGGAATATCAGGCGGAGGAGGATTTTGTATGGCTTGGTTTTTCCTATTGGCCCCGAACAGCAAAAAGAAGAAATAAATGGGAAGAAGAAGAATTTCTCTCGGCTCCGGTAAATGATTTAAAATAAATGCTAAAATTGTATAGGGATTTACTTTAATTGAATAGAAATTAGTGAATATGTTTTTTTTTATGCTTAACTTAAGAGTGATAATCTCTCATTTGACAAAAATCTCACTGTAATTGGTAGTAATGCTTGGATCGTGACAAAAATTTTGGAAAGAAGTCCCATTTTTTTTATTTAGACAAGCATTCAAGTAAGTCGAATAATATATACGATTCTTTAAAGAGAAGCCATTAAATAGTCTTCTAGTCCACTCTATTTTCTATAAAATCGCACAATAAATGCCATTTTTAATTTTCAATTCCTTGAAGAGTGATTTCCATGTTAATCTGAGCGAAATGCCACATATGTGTGGAATTTAGAGAATGTAAAAATATAGATTTTTTCGGAAATTACAAGTGAATTGAACATTCAAATGGTTTGTTCGATTAGATCGATTCATGGTCCACTAACTCCATGACAGGTAACAAGATCAAGGGAAGTAGTGTCAAATGGTAATATATCTTTTATTAATTCGAAATAAAATCAATTGACTCGATTACCTTTTTAAAAGAAAAAGAAAGTCCACGAAAATTGGCGCAGACATCGCATTCCTGTGACTATTGCAGTGAATGGGAGTCTAATTTGCCGTGAACTATTACAAGCAAAGTACTAAAGGGATCAGATAAATAGTAACTAAGTTCTTCTTATTGTGTACTAGTATATAAGACCAAGTAAGACAGCGCAGAGTATAAAATATTGTAAATACCTCATTTGTGTACATAATAATCACTCGCAAGCCCTGAATTAAGGATGCACACCAATTTTTTGACTTTGTCAACTAATTTGAGTCGGCTGGTGCAAATAGGCATTTAAGGTAAGAAACTCGGAAGCCAAAATTGTATCCTTACTACCTGTTATTACACAAAATTTTGGAGCATTGAAGCAAAATGAATTTTCAGTAACCCGTACCAGTATTTAGCTTAAGTGACCTTTAGGTTGTTTACAAACATACTGAGTCGATCAAAATTTATAGGAAACATACAGTTGCACATTATCGATATAAGCCCTGTAGGGAAAAGCTAGACTAGTATGAAAAAAGTATTTTGAAGACGAAATCATACTAGCTTGGTGTAGACCAGAATTATACTGGTATTTAGAGGACAAAAATGTAAAATCCGGACTAGATTGTAAGAAATCCAATACATGAACCAGTATTTTGGGGATTAAATCATATCAGTTTGTAGTTTCGCAATTAAAATCAGCACTCTTAAGATGCTCCGGCCAAACATTATTAGACTTGCCACTACAACAACAACTACATGTTATTGATATTTTTCATATATTGTTCAACTGCAAAAACAAAAAATGATGACCATGATGACTGATACACTTCCTGGAAAGAAATAATGAACTAAATTTCAGGTAAAGTGATTCATAAGTGCGTTTTTTTTTAAATAAATCAGCATCCCGTGAAAGGAGTTTCTTGACTAGTACGATGCAGACTGGGCCAAAACTTGCGGATGCTATGGATAATATGGCAAATATCATGCTAGCGTTACCGCGGTTCAATCGGAAATAAATGTCACTTATCAACGGTTTAGTAACAATGAAATACGATTACACTGTGCCAGAAAAAATTTGAGTTTTTTTGTTGAATTTATTTACATTTATTGCAATTTTTATATAATATTATAAAATAATGCAACAACGAAGTGAAATGACTTTGAATATTTAAATTATGTTTGTAATGATTACATAGGATAAGTAAATGATTTGTTAGCATAAAGTGAGTTTTTTTAACTACTGAGTTGTGGTCTTCGTTCCTAAGAATGAAGAGATATCAAATAGCACTTGAGTTTGCATTTTTAATGTAATTATGCTTTTGCCTGGGACGATTGTCACGACGCTTTAATTCTTGAATTAAGTTCCAGCATAGAGAATTCGTTCTAAGACTGGTCAAATTTTGTCTGTGAATGTTTCTAATAAAAAAAAACGGTTTATTTCCTCAAACAACCTTTAAACAAATATTACCTTTCTTCACGATCAATTTCTTGCAAAACTAATAAAAAAACAGCAACTTAATATACCATTATTTTATTTCATAGGACAATTATAACAACATGGTAAATAAATTGATACTTCTTTGTAACACTAGGACTCAGTGTTTCTCAGTGAGTTCCAAATAGTATCAAATAGATACCTGAGCGCCAAAGGTATCTATTTTAGACTGGATACTGCCAAAATTCAGTTTGGCATAAGATTTTAACAACAGCAGTAGAACAAAACCAGCTGTGAAATCACCTTGCAGAAAATTATGGAATTTATTTTTACGAATCAAGTTGTGCTATAAGCATCTAAAACACCTTACATAGTCTGAGCCAGGTTTTTCGGCTTTGATCTGGCAAAATTTTATCGCGACGCGTTGCTCTTGATTTCTTGAATTTCAAGGTCATAAAAATTAAAAACTATTGAAAAAGCAGACAATTTCTTTTCTTTGTCTTCTTTAATGTTAGTAATAGTTTTCATCAAATGGCATTATGTACACGTTTATTTAATGATGAGTAACTCTTGGATTAAAATTGATAACAGTTATCAAAATGCAGTTTTCCATGAAGAAATTATTATAGTAAACAGAGACAGCAGTTTAGTTCTTCGTCTATAGTGAACGGATAAAGTCAAAGTTAATGTTGTGATACAAGTTAAGGAAAAATACATACATATATTTACATAAGTAAGTGTATTTATGCAATATCTTAGTCATAACTGCATATAAGCTGAAACAAATTTGTGTAAGCACATTTCCTAAATGAATTCTTTCTAACTAATTTATGTCTTATCTTTCGTCTATATTCATATATATATACATATAATTGGCGTTTTTTAACCGCTGAAACGATTTTTCGGTCGAGCTCCTCCTCCAGTTTGTGGCGTCTTGATGTCTTCATAACAAATGGAGGGACCTACAGTTTATACTAAGACGCTTCCGAACGGATGATAGGTTTTATGTCATGTCCGAAATACACTCGGGGGTTGGATAATCCTTGCCGAGGGCCGACCGCAATTAGAAAATTTCACTTAATTTTTTATTTAAATTAATTTTTCATAAATGTTGGATGTTGGTGGATATGAATTCGAGCTATAATTTGAAACTATAATTTGATAAAATTTCCTTTAATCGAAAATTTATAATTTATTCCGTTGTTATTTTGCTTTCCATTACAGTGATGAATCAAAGGGTTAGCCTCATTATCTATATACTTGTACAGAGATGGTTTCACATTCCTTCATAGTTGGCTTGTTAACTTCTAGACATTTTGTTCTTTTGTGTAGAAGAGATTGTAACTTTCTTCAAATGCAACCTTGCCCTCATCACAGCCTGTTGTCATGCTTTTTCAAACTTTCAAAAAGGTGCTGCTATCAAAAATTTTTTACTTTCCCACGAAAATGATATTATTCATATACATCAGTTTGGTTTTTGCGAAAAACATGGCAAATTTTTTACTTATTCAATTCGCATAACTAATGAAATAATGAATGTTTTCGAAGTCAGAGAGTATTTCTTGCCCGTTTTTCACAACGTTTAACCATTCGACATGGTAGGCATGCAGGTCTAGTTTAAAAAATTAAAAATCTCAAGTGATTGACTCCAAAATGCACTAAACAGGAAGCTGGTGCAGGGTAACTGGGCTAGATGTCAATTCTCACTGTTACTGGTAAAGTGAATTTTGTTACTTTTTTCAACACTAGAAATTGAATTAGATATTTTAGCGCACAGGTTACATTGTCTGACAAAACTTTGGCAGCACTGCTTTTTTACATCTATGTCAAATTACATTTGCCAGTTGGTAAAGTAAAAAAAAAGAATATGCACATCGAAACTCAAGACAATGCGCAACAAAATAAACAAGTTTATTATTTGTTAATTAAGTCATAAATAATTGAACTTAATTATACCAGGACGACAAAAAAAAGCTGAATGAAAACGCTATCTTTTAAATTAAAATCATAATTTTTTCTCTCAAACTTCTTAAAAAGCACCTTTCTCGACAGAATAGGCCTGTTAATTTTTCAAAAATGAGTTAGAATTTCTTAGCAGCTGGATTTGATCATATTATGATCGTTTTCGTTTTGAGCATACTTTCTTGAAAAAAATTTGCATTACAATCGCTGACCAACAAGCGCACACTTTTCAAAAAACTAGTGCAGGCGCCCATATGTATGTATGTACAGTGGCGAACACAGGTATAATGTTTGTCAAAATTTATCATATGATGTTATAAAAATTTAAATAATAATCCGATTTTCTTAACATTTTTATTTTTAAATTGTTATTTATTTCTTTAAAAAGGGTCTTTCCTTCTAAGCATTATTTATACTTTTGGCATACCTTCCACCAATTTTTCTATTGTGTTACGAGGAATATTCGTCCAGGCTAGATTGACAGGTTCCCAAAGCTCATCGAAGGTTTTCGAAGGTAATCGTACCCAATTTTCACTATTATAGCCGCATGTTTCGGATCTATATCATATTGACAATCGATTACCCTTTTAGGGTATGCCCGTTCGTCAACAAGCTTGGGTAAATATGTATGTTTACAAAATATTAAGATTGTCGTACTTTCTAATTATTGCGCGTATTTTATGTATTGTGCCTACACCATTATTTCACTCCCGCCATGTTTCATGGTTTCTATTATGTGAAGTTTCTGAAGATAACAATATTATGGCTTAGCATCAGAAAGATAACGATTGGTCTTCGTTTCATATAACCCGTTTCCAGTCCTCAACTGACCAATTTTTGCTTTCTCTACAGAAGTATACTCACACACAGCATCATTGTCATTCCATATTCTTTGTCGACCATCATAGGTAGACGCGTTCGTCTCTTTGGTTTTCCTATGAAATTAAATTTTCTAAAGCCGACCAGTGTTGCTAGCCATTTTATATATAGTATGTACATACATAAGTGCTACGAATTTATGTAACAATTTCTTCTTCTGCGGTGCAATCAATCATCTGAAGAAACGACGACCAAGGAGCTTCTCATTCAAAATTCATTTTCCAGGACTCGGACCAATTGCCTTGTGAAGAGTAGCATATAGAAATGAATTTTAATTTTTTCGTATTATGGTGTATTTTGTTTTCGAGAAATGTGCTTTATGATTGTGCAAAAATGTCCTTCTATCAAATGGTGCAATAGTGCAGTATAGCAATTTCATTTCAAATTATTTTGAGAGTTAAAGCGAAATCCGTACACTCAAAATCCAAGGGACGATCTCGGTCATAGTATTTAGTTGTATATCAATAATTTAAGGGACAAGTTTTATCTAATTTTTAACATTGGATGAATTGCTTTTCCAAAAATACAAAAAAAAGGTTATAATGTATTCAAAAAAGGAAAGATTTATCAACCGTGATCCCATTTTCACATTTCGTTTCCACACTATGAATTCAAAAATTTCTATGAAAGGTAATTGCACTGCTCTCATTTCCATAAATTTTGTTATCTCTGTCACATACAGTATGCCAATTAATTGTTTGCAAAATGAAAAAAATCATAAAAATCTCTTTTCAATTTCTATTTGATAAATGAAAGTATTTTATTTTACTTTTTTTATTAATTGGCATTGTTAATCTAAGTATTCTTAACAAATATCACTCGCAGAAATAACAAACATTAAAACCGAACGGTAAAAAAATAACAAAATAAAAACTCACCAAATATTGCGTTGCGAATTAATTCTTTGCAAAATATCTACACAATTCAATATAAAAAGTAGATAAATTAACGGTACCACAAATTTGAAAACGAGTGAACGCGTGCGTCATAGCTATGCGTTGCTGTATTACATTCAATTCGATTAATGCTTTAGACAGTTCAGATCTCCCTTTTAACAATGCCTGGCAAACGAACTAATGGAAAACTTTTCCAATTAGTTTATTTTATTTGCCGCAAAGGGAAATTGGCTAAGGAAGTAGCGCAAAAAATTTCAATCAAGCTTAGAACGATTTATAACATCATTAAACGCACAGGAAAAGAAAACAGGTTGGAATTAAAGCACTTTAGAGGTAGACCACTGAAACTTTCTAGACGCGATCATTCAAAAATTTTAAAGCAGATCAGTGATAATCCTCAAATCACCCTGAGAAAATTGGCGTTAGTTATTAAAAATGATTGCCATAAAACAGTAAGGCACGAGACAATCCGAAAAGTCTTAAAAATACGCAAGTAGCAAGTAACTATTTTTGTCGGTAGTCAATACTGAGAAGCGGCTCAACTTTTCTATTACCAATGAAGAGACAAAAATAATGTTATACTTTATGGTGGACCCGATAAAGTTTGGAGAAAACCCAACACAGCTTTGCAAAATAAAAATATAATTCCAACAGTAAAATTTGGTAAGCTTTCTGTAATGGTTTGGGGTTGCATTTCGTCGAAAGGTGTTGGTGAGCTCCGAATTTTACATGGCACCTTAAAAATATGACTTAAAAACCCTTATTCTCATACCAAATATTAGTACCAACTCTGCTTTATTTTCATAGTTTTAATTATATTTGCAATAATTGTTTACAAAATTAATTGACATTTACATTTACTTTTATTTCATGAATACTGGAATTTGTGTGCATTATTTATGTTCAGATTGCTCTGACTAATATTATTTAAAAAAGAAGTTAAAGGAAAATTGTTTAGTCAATAAAAATGAAGTAAAAAAATGAATTTGTTTGATTTTATTCATTTGCAAACAATTAATTGACATACTGCAGATAATTATATATGTTCTTGTCATTTATCTCATAAAATGCTATAATATTGAATACACGCATGGATATAATAAAATATTTGTTTCACGCTGTTCTTCTAAGGCGGCATAAGTAATAAAAGATTTTACTTGATGCATTTTAATATAAATAAAATGGAAAAAGTTGTAATTTTTTTTAGTTTTTTTCTCGAAACTATGACTAATAGGCTTTCTCAACTATATGCGAAACGTCGGTGGTTTGGCTACCTGGTCATAGGAACAACTCAGGGAGCTCCCTGGCCGATGAGCTGATCGGATGTGGCTTTGACCAGAAGAACCAACAGTAGATGACAGATGAAACCACGTGAAAACGATTGGAGTAAAGGGAACTAAGTTTTTACTCGTTCTAAACATGATCTCTTTAACCATAACAACCGGCGTATAAACCGGACACTGTGTTGTGGGTACTCAGTAAAGCTCGAATCTCTGCGAATCATTAATTTCCTGAACTTCGTAAAATGCACCTGTTCAAGGTAATTCTGAGATCTTTAAAAAGAATATGCACTGCACTGAAACACCAAGAATATCTTGTCTGATTACAAGATGCTATCTCCAAGATAGCTCTCCATTCAAACGTACAGGTAGATATAGCAAGTTCAGTAAGCTGCTCATTTTCTTGAATTCGATTTAAAATTTGTTGGGCGAATCTTTTCCCTTTAAACCATAAAAGGCAATATAAAAATTTTCCACATATTTTTCATTTAAAAATAGTAAGCTTTTTTTGAGACAAGAGGGCTGTACGAAACAAACGAAACAGATTTAATGTCAAAGAGCTATTAAGCCGACAGCGAAGAGAAAATGAAACTATCATTAAATTATTGTATCATGTAATTTACAGTTTTGGCGATTTCCATTGAAATTTCCTTTCAATTTGAAAGATGTATCCACAAGAAATCGTTAAAAATATGATTGGTTTAATGAATAACTAATGGAGTTGAGGTTCCCTGCCAAGGGGCAACCGCAATTAGAAAAAATTATATTAGTACTCGTTTTTACATTTGTATTATATACTATAAAATAAATCATTTAGAATATACATCATATGAAATTTTGCATTTAGATACATACCTAATCATGGCCACAAATAGTATGAATCAACAGCAACCAACAGCAGATATAAAGACGATCCCTTGCATGAAGAGAAAAATTATCTACAAAATTTTTGAGTTGTATGACGATCACGCGGTCACCGACGTAACTTTTAGAGTTTCAAACCCAATTGCTTTGTAAGATGTAGATATTGCTCATTTTTAGTCAAATATTAAACGGACAACTTGAATTATTTAACAGAATTCCAGCACACCGTTTGGTCCTCTCTGCCACAAGTCAATACTTCAGAACTCTGTTTAATAGTGAAAGTGGCAGTAATCCTATTATTGAAATAAAAGACGTCGATAGTGACACATTTGAGCGATTAATTATATTTTGTTATATGGGCGAGGCGCGGCTAACTAAGACAAATGCGTATAAAATACTAAAGACCGCAAGACATTTTCAACTGAACACAATACCAATATCAATTATAATGAGTTCGGCGCGGCAGCATAGTTCAACTTCCATTCTGAAAGAGGTTACATATTTCTCCGAAGTAGTAATGAATAAAATTAATGAGTTATATGAAGAACAGGAGCTGACAGATGTAACCTTCAAGTTGTCAAACCCCGATGCCTTGTAAGTTCACACTTAAGTAAGTATGTTCCGAATATAATGTAACATGTTACTTATCTCGTCTTATAGAGTTAAAGCACACCGTTTAATATTATCTGCCGCGAGTCCATATTTTCGATATCTCTTTAATAGCGACAGAGGTAATTATCCCCAGATTGAAATATTGGAAATCGACAGCGAAAGCTTTCAACAATTAGTCTCTGCGTGTTACACCTGCTCAGTGCCTCTAAGAATGGACAATGTTTGCCAAATACTAGATGCGGCAAAAAAATTACAGTTAAAAGACGTTGTTGATGCATGCTTCGATTACCTGAGAGAAAATTTGGTGGGAATATCTTTGATGGCGATACAAACTGTAAGTAAGACATGAAATACCTAACAATATCAAGCAAATTAAAGCAGGTAGTGCTTCCCTTATCTCCCAAATCAAAAGTTTTTAATGCAAATATATTATATGTATATGTATATATGTGTAAAAGGTTATTCATTTCGTGGTTGCAAAAGTACAGGGATGTATTTTGACACCTGTCGAACTTAACTCTCAAACCAAACATGTTTTGTTTAAGTTAAAAGTCGGAAATTTATGAAAATGGATTGCTTACAAAAATAGTAATTCCAATATGGCCACGCTTCTTGCTTTAAGAGTAGATTATGGTGCACACAATCCTCAAACCACTCAAGCAATAAAAGAACACAGCAATAGCGAATATTGCTTTAATGCGAGAGAATTCTACCGGCCCTGTAATCTCTTGTTTTGGCGATGCGAAAGCCCGTGTTTACGTTGATAAGCCTGTAACTCTTTAGCACTTTAGAATCAATAGTCATGGTATGGCTGAGCTACCGCCCATGGTGCTCACACCAGACGACAATATGTCAATGTCATTGTATAACCTCTCATCGCTCCATCGTCAGCAGTATTCGCCGCTTCCAACTCGTACAGGACCATTAATCGTTCGCAAAACTTTTCACGCGAAGACTCCAAAGGCCAACCTGTGCTATGTTATCATCGTCCACACTTTTGTACCATATAGCATAATGGGAATGATGAGATACTTGTGGAGGTTGGTTTTGTTCGTAAAAAGAGGACTTTACTTTTCTTTTGGCAAGAGTGATTCTGAATTGGATTTCAAGGCTGTGACTTGGTGTGGACCCTTGATAGGTGTTGAAGCATGAATTATCCTACACCCAAATTCCCGGCATACGTTTAGGCTTTTGTTTTTGCTTTCATTCATTAGAGGGCATATATGGATGCACGTGTGTACATATGTGCATACGCATGCATGCTTATATGCATCAGTGCAGTTATCAGGTGGAAAAAGAAGCAATAAGCTAAAAGCGTTATTTAAAGCTAAACTCAAGGTGCTTGGATGCTATGCGACAGTTTACATTATTGCATGCTTAGATGTGTTGTTTTAAGAAAATTGATTGCTATTTACGAAGAAGACTTCTGTTGGACTCAGAACAGGAAGTACATATATCTTGCCAAAAATTTCTTACAGAATTTTTACATTGAATGCAGGTATTATAGCGATTTAGGGTAGTTTCCTTGGAGTAACAGTTTTTAAATCTAATTTTCAAAATAATTGTATAATTGAAATTTTTCAGCGAGGTTCTACGTTTGAAAAGCCTGTACTACGGTACAATCCACGAGAGGATAATTGGGAAAAATCTTTCAACATTAAAGTGAGCGCTACAAATTTTGGAATGGTTCATTTAATGGATCGTGTATATTTTATTGGAGGCATTATTAAAGGCCAAGTGAACAATCGTGCAGTTGCTTTCAATATACGAACTAAAGCGAGGACAGAGTTACCCACAATGAATCATTCACGATACGATCTAAGTGCGTCAGTTTTAAATGGTAAAGTCTACGTAATTGGGGGACGAACGGAAAACAACAAAATTTTGCAGTCTGTGGAAATGTACGAGTAAGTAGTAGTTCTGTTAAATTTATCTGATAGACACAAACATTTTCAAAATATATGTTATTTTTTATATTATTACAATTAAGGTTGGGGGGTGTAATGGAGTGTAGCCAAGTTTCTGGGTGTGCAATTACAGTCAATTCCTAATCTTGCGTTCACGTTGTGCACTCTGGAAACGTGAGCAACTCTTGTGCTGGTTGCGGTAACCAACCCGTGTGGAGTCTTGGATAACTTCTAAAGAGAGGAAGTTTCAGTGGTACTACTCCGACTTATTCGGCTTAAGGGTTGAAGTCTATATGCAACGTTAGTTCATCAGAAGTGCGGCTGCGAGCGGGCGTCGGGCTTGAAGCCAGCGGCTCGCTATATAAATGTGTAGAAAATTTAAAGTTACTCACCTATCGAGGTTGTGCACTTGGTTTGAGAGCTGCCACGTAGAAACCAGCTCAAATGAAAAGTTCAACGACGCCTCGGATGAGATACCCATTTTTTGATAACGATCACCGCAAAGGAAATAAGGATTACGATTTAAGGTCGTGCACCTGGAATGTCCGGTAACTTAATTGGGAAGGTGCCGCTGTCCAGCTGGTTATGTCCTCGTAAAATTAAAGGCTGACATTACCTTCATCCAAGAAGTGCGATGGACGGGACAAAGATGGAACCGATTAGGCTCTTGTGACTTTTACTACAACGCGACTTCGGCGTCAAATATGTGGTGGGAGAGAGACTCCGTCGTCGAGTACTGGCACCCACCCCATTGGATGAACATCTCAGTAAAATCCACGATAGGGCTGTCTGTAATACTAGATATCAGCACAATAAAATACATCAAGCCACTTGGCTGTTTGTCTGTCACCTGATCGAAAAACTAAAAACCAGATCGATCATGTTGTAATAAGCGGAAGGCATGTATAGCGTACTCCTGCTCTCAGTAAGAGCCTGAGAAGCTGGCCGAAATTTTACGAAAAAATTCGTCGACTTACAAAAGGTTTCAAGGACACTTGTAGGATACAGTAAGGTGAATAACGAATGCCCAGAGTATATTGAATTAAACTTCCCCAGCCTGCTAAATGGAAGTGATAATGAAACCCCAGGACTCAGACCGATGGATTACCGGCCGAGTTATTCAAATATGGCGGTTAGCTGATGAGTTGCATGATGCATCAGCTTCTTTGCAAAATGTGGTCGGATGAAAGCATGCGATCTCTCAGTCTACGTCAAGTCCCACTGTGTCCGTGGGGTAAACCTCAATATCGCATATAAAGTCCTATTGAGCGTGTTGTGTGAAAGACTAAATCCCACCATCAACAAACTGATTTGACATTATCAGTGTGGCTTTAGACCTGACAAATCAACCATTGATTAGATGTTAACTATACCCCAAATCTTGGAAAGAAAAATCGATACACATCACCTTTTCACCGATTTTAAAGTAGCCTTCGACAGCACAATGGCGAGCTGCCCTTACGCCGCTATGCTGGTATTTTCGCAAAATTTATACGGATATGTAAATAGACGCTAGACGACACCAAAAACTCAGTCAGAATTAAGAAGGACCTCATCGATCTGTTCATTCTTGTGAACAGGTGCTATTTGGACTCAGTAGTTAATTGAGAAGTAAAAGCAGAGAAAAGAGGAAAACCTCCACTCCGTTGGAAGGATGAGGTGAAGAGCTTTCTCTTGGTGTTTCCAACTGGTATCAAACAGCGAAAAGAAGAAACGAATGGCGCACTTTTCTTGATTCGGCCATAATCGCGCAAGCCGTGCCTAAGTCAATGAAGAGGAAGAAGAATGCTTAACACGGGTTTTAGGTAAATGAAATTAGCTGCAACATTTAATTGTTTATTTCTGGATAATTTTCTTCTAATTAATGTCTGAACCTCACAGTATTGTTTCACAATTAAAACATATTTTGAAGAAAAATAGATTTATGTACATACGTGTATGTATGTATGCACGTGCGTAATTTATATATTCTTAGTTGTAATTAATACGTTGCCAGAATCTTTGATTAGCAAAGTAACATAAAACATTGTTAATGGTGAAATTAACGGTAACAGAAAAGAGTGATTATAATTTACTATTATTTTTCACAGACCATATACTGACGAATGGAAAGAGGTTGGCAATTTGATCACACCTCGTTTCGGTGCTGGTGTTGTTGCGATGAGAGGCAAAATTTTTGTAATGGGAGGATACAATGGAGGAGATTTAAAGTCTATTGAATGTTACAACCCAAACACAAATCGTTGGAAACCGTGCAAAGATATGTCTGTAGCCCATTTTATGCCTGGAGTAAGTGAATTATACGGTTTTTTTTTAATATTTTATGTCAGCATATTTTCGAGATTAATTCAGAATCCAGCCGCAGGTTTTCGTAAATAAATTTGGTGTGGGTGGAAAGAGGAAAATGCTTAGATTCTAAAACTTCTTCCCTTTTTTCTAGCTGACTTATAGTTTTTAAATAATATATTTTAATATTGGCATACAATTACATCCACATTGGTATTACCAGACTACTGAGCAAAATAATACTTTAGTGTAGAGCCTATGTTTTTTGTATCTTACTAATAAATACATTTAAAATACTTATACACGTAACCCTGGGCCGGACCTACACCGATTTCGCAGTTTACAGTTTTTTATACAAAATTTTGCTATGCAATTTTATATTGCTTTCATATTTATTGTAAGTTTTTATATATTAAATTACACAGTACGGTAACACCTTCCAGATTAGATAGTAGCCATGTTTAAGTAAGAATTTTTTTAATCATAATGGAAATGGATTTGTTAATATTTATTTAAGTTAGTTTATCAGGAGTAATATTTGCGTTCGTTAAAGGCAAAGTAAAGAATAGTGAACATTTCATAAAGAAATGTTGTGATTAAGTTAACAAGTTTTAAGTCGATCGTAATTATTCAACCACCCAAAAGGAGTACCTAGCGGCAATCCAAAATGCGTATGCAAACAATTGTAGGATAACGTATGCCTTTTATTTGAAATTCCTCTGTCGGTTGGTGCCAAGTGCTGAACTTCTCTGGCCACAGCAAAATCAGCTACTACTGCTGGGTTAATCATTACATTTTCAAGTATATTAGATGGCATAGTTAGCTCATATATGGTTCATGGTAAAAGGTACTATTGTAAATTGAAGTTTCCAAAACATGACCGTTTGGTTATTATTATTATTATTATTTATATAAAAGATGAAAATTATGATTTCATTTTATTTAGATTTCCTCAGTGGTATCAGCATATTTTTATTATTTCAGGTAGCCGCACATAGAGGTTATATATATGTCCTAGGAGGTTGGTCCATTGCAAACCATGCAGCAGTTGAACGATACGATGTGAACTTGAACACTTGGACTAAGGTACTAATAATATATCAATAAAAAATATCACTAATTTTATTTTGATCATGTCAGATGTAGCACTTATTTAGTTAATTGATTGAATGTCAAACTTTACTGAATGAAAATATACATTCTCTAAACTCCTCATAGGTTTGCTTCCTGGATGTGGGCCGCTGTGGTATTGGTTGTGTTTCTCTAGGAAATCATCTATGGGCCATTGGAGGTGCTTTTGAAGGCGAAGAAAAAGACTGTGTGTCTGTATATGACGAGGAGAGCGATAAATGGTCTAGTAGGAGCTCACTTATTAAATCAGGAGTATACTATTGCTTTACTCTAAATGATATAAAGTAAAAAGATTTAACAAAAATCGTCACCTCAAATACATCAAGGTATAAAGTTAAAGTTTTTAATATTGTACTTTCTTCGAAAGAATTTCTAAAATGACATTATTCATTGCCCAACATTTGATATGTTTTAGACTTCCTGCCAGAGCCCACAATAATATAAAATGCATCTAATGATGTTTTTGAAAACATTATATCAATTCCTAAAACTTGAGTTTAAGTACGTGTTTTGAGAGAATGGTGGTGTCTGTGAGGGGATTTTAGCCATAGCTAGGATCCGGAAATCTTTTAGGTCAACTTGAAGCTTTATAACTCGATGTATTTGAGATGCAGTTTTTTGCCAAAGTAACCATTCCCCAAAAGTTTTAGTCGTGTCATCGTTATTTCCTGGTTGATTACCTGTTCAGGCAGTTTTTTTCAAGATTTATAAAATTACGTATGTATGCTGCAGTGGGATCTAAGACAATATAGTTATATGTATGTGAATATAAACCATTTTTGAAAACTTTGAATTTACTTTTTATATATTGTTGAGGCGGGAATTAAATCACTTTACTTTCAGTTGGTTTAAGTATAACTGACTCCACAATCTGTAGAGCGTTTATTTATATAAATTTGTAATGTGAAAATTTACATGCATGCATATGTGTACATAAGTATGTTTACATTAGAAGATTACCCACGAATAGATAATCTTATCTTATGTTTTAATTTTTATTGCTTTACATATTCATGATAAGAACATCAGTATACATAGATGCTTATGTTGTTGTAAAGGCATCAAGTATCAATATTCATATCATGAGTATGTGTATATGGACATCTGTTTGTACTTTAATTTTTATTGCCTGGCCTATAAATGTCATACAGCATATGAATTTATGGCCATACATTTTAATTGCTGGCTTATCGTTTCGGAAAACTAAACATATATAATAATGAATGAGTCGTCTGAGGTACCGTAGTATATGCACACTGAGAATTTATATAGAGATCTTAAAATACCAATACTAAAAACACAGAAGCGGCGAATACCTGGAAAAAATATTTGCAAATCATATATTTCATCCTGCCCAGCAATCTACGCCCGTCTCCAAAGAAGGGTTATAAAACTGTTATTCACTATGTAATTTTTTAAAACTGAGATTTGCTATACAATTTGCAGCTGTCAGAATAACTTAATTACAGATAATGGAAACCGAATTCCGCATATGTTAATCGACAGCTTCGTTACAAAGTATTTTTCGCGCATATTCAAGAATTTTAGTAAATTTAATTTAGTTTATTTCAATTAATTTAGTTAAAGAAAATATATTTTTCAACATATTCGGAAAATCTTATATTTTGGTAATATTTTCATTTATGTGTAACTAATAAAAGGGAATGAATTAGTCTCAACCAAGTGTTATAGAATATAGAAGATTACGACAATAGCAAAATCATGAATGACACGAGCAAATAATGTCAAAAATCTTAAAAATTATCGAAATTCCAAACGAACGCTCATTATTTAAAAAAATTCAATACAGAAACCGTTTTTGTATACTTTCTTTATCTGCTAAAAAGCTTTTGGGAAATTGGTGATCCTTTTCTCTTGAAAAAATCGTATTTAAAAAATCGCAGCGGTGGAAATATGCATTTGGTTATTATGAATAAAAATTTTAAGAAAACATGTATGAGTGAATGATCTTCTTTGACCGCTCTATTTGGTGAAACATTTTATACTCCAAATATCAGGCGATCGGTCTCATATCCACTTCCCGTAAATAACGGTATTCTATAATTGGTATTATCCTAGGCAAAGAGCCACATTTCCCATCCGCTCAGATATGGTCCTTCGAGCCGGATAGCGGCGCTTATGACTTTATAGCCGGGGAGGAGAATGACTACAATAGAGTTTACCTATACTAATGGTCCAGGTGAGTCTGCGCAGCGTCAGGTGCCTCCTATGGCATTGGGTAAAGGCCACAACTTTTTGTAACAAGCCTGGTGCTCAACTTGAATTCATTTCACATTCAACCGCATTCGCTTAGACGCACACTGCAACTTAATTTGTTCCTTTTAAGTTAATTGCAATTTGGTTCCTGATATTTGCTGTGTGTTCATAATATGGGAATTTTCTTCATTGTATCTCTGAAATCCCCTTCTCAACTTGGCTGTAATTTCAGGTTTATTAGGAGCCTTATTTGGATAATAATATTTTCAAACGCTTCCTATTTATTCTTTTCAACAAAATTAATCTGTAAATAGTCAGCTAACGTTGAGCACACAGTTTTATGCGTATGTACATACATTGGGGAGCAAAGCTGTCAAGATGTTTACTGAATACGACTAAATATTATTATAACTTTTTTCCTAATGCCAGAACCGGCAACATTCATACAATAAAATTAAGATAATCCTTAATTTATTAAAAATAGAAAACAGAAAAAGCTGTTATTGTGGTTGGAGTTCCCGTTGACAAAAGAGCTATAAAATTATTGCATCCCCTATTATTATCCTACGTAATTTGAGACCCCTTCAATTATGCAACGTTACGTGTTTGGCCATTAAAAAGGTCAACGGAAATACCCTTGATGCAACTTTTTAAACCGGGAAGTTTAAAGTAAAAGTGGTCATATTGCCACGTATTCCAATGATACCATCAAATTCGACTACCCCTTTATGAAGCTACAGTTTCCAATTCATTTTGCGTTTGCCATGTCTATAAATAAGTCTCAAGGTCAAACAATATCCATTTGGAATCAATTTTTTTCTCATGGGCAAGTATACATACACGTATGTTGCATGTTCACGTATAGAGAAGCGTCGAATCTATTTGTGCTAGCAAAAGACAGACTTACCAAAAATATTTTTCACCGATTACCGCTAAATTAAATTGAAATTAAAAGTATTTAAAAATCAAGATAATAAATTTTAATGTTAAAGAATTAAATTTATCTGTCCCAGAATTAAATTTATCTGTCCCACCTACCTCATTCATGTCAACAACTTTGTAAAATACACATTTGTTACAAACTTGAATAAAAATAATAATAAATTTTAATATTTATTATTTTATATTGATTTTTGTTTAATATCAATTGTACAAAAATTTTAATCAATCGTCTTCAAAGTCCTTCCCATTCAAATCCCAATCCAGTGAATTTTTTTTTAGCGTTAACGATTCCATCTTCGTTTGTAAATAATAATCCAATTGGTTCACTGGTTGGTTACTATAGTAGGTAATCTGTTTTAGAGTTCGCCATATTTTTTTAAAACAGCCAAAAGGTTTAAATCAAAAAATACTAATTTATTGATAATATAAATACCAAGTCTCTTCTTTCATTTTTTTTTTGCGTAGGCACCGTACGTACCGTGCGCGAATATAGCCGAATCAACAATAGCGCGTCATTCATTCTTATTTTTCGCTGTTTGGCGTCAGCTGGAAATACCAAGTGCAACTACTCCTTGTAGCGGAGTTGTTTTCTTTATTTCTATCGGTGCGTATTCGAACACTTTCAAAGAAGTATTATTGTCCAACCGGACCACATGAGCTAGCTATCGCTGTCTCTTCTGACTCGCTGAACTATGTCAAATATCGTACAGGTCATCGGTCTATCGCCTGAGGCATTTGCCATTCCTAACTCACAGAGGACCATAGTTAGTAGAATACAGGAAATATTTTGTCTTGTCCTCGTTCACTACCAGACCCATTCGCTTACCTTGTTCAAGTCTGCCATTCGCAAGGCATTACCCTGGTCTCGTACTAATATCCAAAAAGTTCTAAGAAATTCATTTAAATAAAAAATTTTGCTAAAGTTTCAAATTGCGACCGCCCCTCGGCAGGGAATGTCGACTCCAAATATATTTCTGACATGAAATAAAGCTCCTCATAAAAAACCATCAGCCGTTCGGAGTCGGCTTAGTGTACGACCCTCCATTTGTTGGAAAAACATCAAAACGCAAACCCACAAAATAGAGTAGGAGCTCGGCCAAAAATAGCTTCAGCGGTTACAAAGCGCCAATTATATATATATATTATATGGGCATCAGTCACTTGATGGCCTCTTTGGGCTGTTCCACAATTCTTTATATCGAGTTGCTGATTAGCGCTCTTAGAAAGCAGGCGGACAAGTCGAGTAAAAACCCGTTCGTATGTCCATTGTTATTGCAGCTTATCAGTGTCTTTATATTTTTTGACGTTCCCTCTTTGATACACTAAGGCATGTGTGTATCTTATCGACAAGATAATGGTCTATGTTGATGTTAGGACTTTGGAACATACACACACCTAGAACACTGGATACAGGTCGTCCGTCTATCAAAACATGATCGATTTGATTGTAAGTTTTTTGATTTGGAGACAGCCAGGTAAGTTGGTGTATTTTCTAATGATGGTATTTAGTACTACAGACAACCATATTTCGGGGCCTGGCGTCGTCGATAAGTTTCTAAGTGGAGTCTGAACTTCCCGAATATTGTGCCTTCGAAGCATGGGCACAAATCAGCGATAAGTTGATAATGGCAAGACATTCATCCAGAGGAGAGAATGCCAGTACTCGGCGTCAGAGTCTATCTCCTATAACAAATATGACACCTTCCCTATTAAAAAATCGGAGATTTCAGGAGCATACCCTCGAATTGTGTTCCTTAAAACGTTTGCCGAGGATTTGCCATCTTACTTTAGCTGCTTGAATGTTACGCAAAATAATATTCTTTGGAAAAATGACATAAAAATGGATAAAGAGATAATTTTAATTTTTTTGATCTTATATGATTATTAGTTTAATTTCGATCAACTGGTGTTATTTCGATAAACCTATTAAGAAATACACATTTTGCTTAAAAATACTAAACCCCTTTTTATTTCTTTCTTCTTCACGTGATTTCCTTAGGCATTCCTTGTGATGTAACCATTCCGCTCGAATTTTCGGATCTGCTGGACCCCACTTTGTATTCGGTGAAGCAGCTTCTTTAATTGTCTGAAGATATTTTAATAGAATATATCTATGAACATGCATTCACTATTACTTCGATGTAATAATTACCCTTCCAAAGGTAGGCTTTTTGTGTGTAGACAAATGCCAAATGCTCCATAAGGGAAATTGAAGAAATCCAATTGCGAGCAACACCCAACCAACAACTGAAATATGGTTCATTAACTAAAATTTACTCAATCTGAAAGTCACTATACTTATTGAATTATGATATAATGGTATAATCGGTAATAAAAATTGTGATTAAATAATTTATTATGTTGTACTCACTTTCAAAAGACACCGGGTATGGTAACCCAGCATAAGTTATTGGTTCCATAATTGCAAGTGAGTATATAAAAATCGCAGCCAGTAATAATGGGGTAATTAACCCCCAACACAGCCGCCAATAAACTGACACTTTACGATTGGTCATAAATTCTACATCGTCACAGAAGTTTCGAAGACCTAATAGAATGAGAAATTATGTTTATTGGAGATGGTGCCATATTAAAACAAATGTGGATATATAATATTATTATGGGAGGAAATAGTGGAATTATTTCTTTCTTATTTACCCAGCTGGCTCGCTGTATAAAGGGTGGATCATATTTTGAACTACCGCTTGAAAGCTTCAATCTACGCAACGGTCAAGTTGCACTGAAACATTTTGAAAACTTTACCGAAGTGCCACGAAAATTACTCACGAAGTTTATTAGGTACTTCCCTATCAGACGAATAAACAAAAGAATTCGCGTTCGTTCCAGCCGAGTACGTTCAAAGTGAAATACTGCTGCTGAAGTTCCTAGTGAGGTCAAACAGTCACCAGCTCGGCGCAGGATTTGTGGTCCACGCGTTATAAAAATATTCACAAATAAGTACAGCATATGTGTTTATGTGGCCTGCAATAGCTGAGTGATTAGCAAAGCGTACTGGCATTCTGAATTCTATAGTTCGAGTCCTCCAACAAACAAAAGTAATTAAATTTAATTTTATAATCCGGTTGCCTCTTTGGTAGGGAATGTCACGCCCTCCGAGTGTATTTCTTACATGAAATAAAGGTTCCTCCTGAAAATTGATAGGGCTTTTGGAGGCAGCTCAGAATAAACTATAGGGCCATCATTTCTTGAAAAAAACATCAAGGCGCATACCACAAATTGGAGGAAGAGCTCGGGGGAAAACCGCTTCAGCGGTTACAGAGCGACATTTATACATATTGTGTATGTTTTCAATATAATGAACAAAAATCGCTTACCGTAGAACCAAGTTATTCCGGCAACTTCAAAAACTGCCAGAGAAAATACTATATAAGTACCCGCAAAAAAGTCCACGAGGTTTAGAATCCATTGTCCGCCCTATTAAATACATAATATATATACATTTTTATTTCTTCATAATGTACCAATAGTAAATAAACTCTTACTCACCTGCGTTATATATAACAAACTAATTCCAAATTCTACAATTGTTATCACCAAGGAGACTAACCAGAACTTCTTCAGTTTGAATTGGTCACAAAGAACAGTTATGATTGCACTTTGTAAGGCAGCTATTGTTCCGATACCCAGGATGAATAGCATGAAAAAGAATAATACCGAAAAAAGCTTTTCGGTGATAAAAACTGTTATTATGTTGAATTTAAAAGTAAAAATAAAAAAAGTATTATTAAAAAATTAATGTGATGTCGCGCCGCGGTGTCGCAAAAATAAGTAAAATATTGCAATTTAGTAAAAAGAAAGGAAACGCTGAACTGAAAATGACTTAACTGTAGCATTAATGATAAGAGAAAAATGTTATGTATGGCATCAAAATCTTTGACAAAAAATTTATAACATTTATTTTCCGTTGTTGTTCCATAATACGCATATCGGATATTGAGAAATTAGCAGTTCTTTTTTAAACTTTAGGAAAGAGCTATGAAATCCCTTGCTCTTGGACTTTAGGTTTAGTTGTAGAAATACAATTTTGCGCCACTTACGACAAACAAAAAACTTGAATTAAATATAAATAAAAAAATACTCTAAAACTCATATTCGAAATAATAGCTTATAAAAGCTTCAATAAAATATTAATTTATTTTGCAATTTCGCATTTTTGTATAATATTTGTACTCGTTACAATATACCCATTTTAGACTTTGGGCTTTACATCTGCCATGAGTAAAACCTAGTTTAATTTTGGGTGTTAAATGATTTAAATGTGAATTTATGAATAATTGAAATACAATAACATAACAACGACTTGCTAGCACTTAAAATAATTTATATAAAATTAAAAACATATGCTGAAACTAATTAGCGTAGAGACTTCAAATTAAGTTAAAAATAAGGGACATGGACTTACAAGAAATCCCTACATAATAAACCTTTAATTTTGTATAAATACAAATGATCAATAATATAATATGTTAGCTGAGTAAGCGGCTTGCTCTTTACATGTTTAACCATTGGTTCGAGACCTGGTCAGATTAACATTTAAAACTTGATTTATTTATTTGAAATTATTCCGCTGATTGGGATCATACTTCGACAAGGGTGTCAACTCCTTCGAGTGTATTTCTGACTTGAAATAAAAAACATCTTAAAAATTCATCAGACGTTCAGAGGGGTTCGACCGAAAATAGCTTCAGCAGCTATGAGGCACCCATTATACAATGTAATATATAATATGTATAAAAACAAACTACCGCTATCGAAATTTATATTACTGCCTGCAAAGCAGCTAAGATTGGGAAAACAAAAATGTTACAAAATTCATATAATCCTTTAAAATAAAAATATAAGGTTTTTCATTTTACAAGATTAAACTAAATATTTTTAAACATACCTGAGGTACAAACTCAAATTTAGCGATTGCATCAGGATATGAAATAAAAGCCAAGCCAGTTCCACTGCGCACTACTTCTCCAATATTGTCAGCATTTAAGTTAAGTGACAAGTTTCCCAATATTCCAAAAATAGTAACGCCAGCCAAAAATGATGTAAAAGTGTCTAAAGTTGTTACAATCATAGCGTCTCTTTTAATGGGAAATAATTCATGAAAAAAAACATTTTCTGAGGGTGCGTTTGAATTTTTCAGAAAAAAGATACTAACCTGTAAACATTGTAACGAAAATGGTTATGCGATGAAAATGCAACAATCGGACCAAACGCAACGGCCAAAGAAAAGAAACACTGCACCACGGCTTCCTTCCAAACCTTAAATATTTAAGTAAAATCTTAAATGATTTATAAAATATACATAATACAAAAGTTTTCAAGGAAGGTCCAAAAAATCGTGGAATAGTTAATCTATAAAATATAAATGAATAGATAATACAACTAATTTATTTTTTATTTTAAATTTTTATAATATTTCCCAATCGGTATACAAGAGTACTGGAACAGTAAATTATTTTTTCTGAACTGTGAACATCTTTGACTTTGCTGTTGTCGAAAAATTTCCTTTCTCAAATATTTTTTTCATATTTGCATACAAATACACATTATTTGAATTTTTAACCAAACTAATATTCTTGGGGAAATTGCTGTAAAAAGGCATTAAGGTGACAATGAAGAAAATGGAATTTAAATGTCATTGATGCACCATTTTCTTTAATAAATATGAAGTATCAATTCTTGATTCTTCCTTAAAACATCCCCAATTATTGCTTTTAATGCTCCCAGATGATTATTTATTTGTATATTTGGGAATGCTTCGCTCTTCATAAATTTTCGCATATCTGGTCGATTAAGAAAACTTGATCAAAAATGGTTTTAACATTTATGAATGCCTTTGCGATGAGCCCAATTTTTCCTCAGTGTAATCTATTTCCTTTTGTGTTGGCGGCTGTGGTGTGCCATTTGGAAGATTCGGTGTCGAACTTGCAACACATTTATCAGTCAGATTAATGAAAACAGTTGTTACTGGCTATGAATCTTTATCTGGACTCGGTGCTTTAGGTGGTTTGTAAATTTTGTCTTATTTAAATCAACTTCATCAATATAATGACGATATGCCGAATTTCGGCATTTTTGTGACCCTGGCACTGAATGAAGTTGGCTTGGATTTTTCTGCTCTCATTCGACCTCTTCTACACCTTACGGCTACCCGAGATATACCCGTGTGAAAATATAGAGAAATTTCTCGAAATTGAGCGAACAAATATATGGGACAGCTGAACTGGTAAAGTAGTGATGTAGAAACGCTGGTTTTGGTACTTTCAGTAACAATCAACAAAACCTATGCCCCCTTCACTTATATTTATAAGCTCATGCAATAAAACTATGTGATTATACGTATATACATATGTATCTACCTTCGTATCTAGTAATTTATTCCATTCCGGTTTTAAGAAAAAAATAATTCCGTCTACAGCGCCCTCCAAAGTCACTGCCCTTATTAATAACGTGATTAAGATTACGTATGGAAATATTGCTAAAAAATAAGCAACTCTTCCTAAGCTTTGCATGCCTTTAATTAATATCAAATATGTAACCATCCAGGAAAGAAACAGTGTTAATGTGAGCTGCCAACTTGGAACCCCAATGCCATCTGATATGTCTTCATATTCTCTTAAAACGGCTTTGCTATAAAACAAACAATTTTAAAGAAATCGTTGATGTTGATGTTGAATTCAAATTATTTCCTATTTGCATATGCATGTTATATATAATATTTATTATTTATACTCGAATTCATATAAATGTACCTGTAATATAACTCAGAGCTGCTCTGTAGCTTTTCACTCGTATTCGTATTTACATAACCTGTTAAACTGGAGCCCACGCAGTTCACTCCCCACTCCTTTCTGCAATATGACCATGGCAGGGGTGATTGAAAAGATCCAATGAAATAATAAATAGTAATTGCAATTAAAGCTGAATAGTATGTTAAAACTGAGAATGCCGATATTGACTGTCCAATGCCCACTCCTGAAACATATTTTTGTACGAAGAGTGTGTAAATATATGTATCTTATGTATGTATGTATTCAATGTTAATGAACATTACTTTACCTGAAAATAATGGACAGGCAGACCACATTCCTACAAAACTTTTACTGGTGAATTGTCCCATAAGCGCTTCCATATAATACATTGGTTTACCTATTAATTCATAAAAATATATTAGTAATTAGACTGTGTGGCTAAGTACTGGAATTCATGAAATGAACTTATCAGCAATATATCCTTCACGATGTCAAAAGCATGTTTAGAAAAATCGTCCTACAACTAATTCAAAGATTTTTTATACAATGTCGGAAGAAGAACTGGTATTATTTGCGGTATCAACATAAAGCCGCGTTTGCAGATAGGAAAAGCTAGAAGTCGAAAAATGTCAGTAATATGTGCTTCAGAAGATGGCTGCGCGAAAATTCTATGAGAAGGAGCGGCGACTTATAGAACGTTTCAAGATCGGAGCATGCAGGAATTGCGGCTATGATCTGATGAGCGATGTGCAGATCATACCGAGTTTATTCAGAAAGCAACTGTCCAGCCTTTTGCAGAGTAGTGAACTCGATGAGGATGAATCAGATGTTCCTATCTCCGAATAAAGGCAGGAGGCGATTGCTTACTGATTCAGATATTCCAATATGCCGCATATGGTCGGACAAAGGCATGCCCGAATATTGGATCGTAAGTGTATTCTGCCACGTTTATAATAGTCTGGATATTTTGGTTTGTAATTGACAGCCGCAATAGGCGAGGGGCTAGCATTGCATACAGTCATACAGAAGGCCAGCAAACCATCCGCTGGCTTAGAATAAATTGTAGGTCCCTCTATTTGTCGGGAAAACATCAAGAAGTATACCACCAATTGTTTACAAAACGCGATTGACATCTAAATAATGGGATGTGGTGGCAAATAATATTACCGTTTTACCATTGGGTGAGTGTTATTATATTTACTAATTATTATGAAGCATTTAGATTACAACTTTAAGAAATTTGAAGTGTATCAGTCATTACGTTTTATCAACCGACGTTAATTTAGGCCCAAAGCTACATCTGTACCATATTACATGTAAACCAATCGATCCACTTCACGGAAGAAAAAGTGTTCCCAATGTAAATTTCAGAATCAATTTTTTCGAATAGATAGGTCCCAGATCCATATCCCAGAAAACCCTTTATTATCGTTATACGAATTTTTTTTATACCCAGACTCAGGTTAGTGAAATTAGATTTGGAACTTTTTCATTTTACTTTTCAATTCGGAATTATTTATTGGAAATTTTCCGAAATATTGAGGAACTTATTTGTGATATTGATGTAGCCGCAAAAATATTCCCCAACAGTAACAGAATAAAAATCCGGTTCGCTCCGGTATAAAGACCCGACTGTCGAGGACACTATTGGATTTTAGTCGCCTCTTATGATAGGTATACCCAGGCCCAACGAGAGGGGGAGATCGAGTACTTTTCCCCCCGGGCCCGTAGATTGCAAGGGGACCCGGTGTTTTCATTGTCGTATATAGAATAATGTGCTTCTAGAATATCTATGACGTAACTGACTACAGATTTTCATGGATTGCGATACTAATTCTACGCGTCTGAAAAAAATCAGTAATTTTGTTACTTCACATATGATGTATGTGACGCATGTTCTTGTCTTACAGTCATTGCAGTAAGATTTAGTTTTGTATGAGAAAGATCAATTTTCTAATTGTTTTTGGGCCAGGATTTTAACTCATCCCCTTCCGAATAGTAGTCTGCACTGATAACCTCTCCAGACTTACGAGGGAATCGATAAAATTTTGGTCTGTTAGTGACTTTCAATTTGTTTTTGTTAAATCTAAAAATACCAAATCTTTTGCAACTAGTATTCCTTTCAAATTTTGGAACGATAAGTTGAAATGGAGACGAGAAAACACAAGATAGCTGAGGATAGGTCAAACAAAATTCCTCCACCAACGCAAACAGAAATTCGCCATGTGATTACGGGTTTCGGCGTAATTTACAGCCAATACAAATATTCAGACCGGAAATTTTTCTGTAGAGGACGAGCCCCGAGAAGGTCGACCAAAATTTTCCCTTGATGAAAAATTTACGAAAAACAACGATTGACACAAGAAAGTTTTGCTTGAATGTCATGGTTTCATCGAGATACACGAAGAAGGCTGCTCGGTGGGTACCACGAATTTTAAACAAGGCCCAAAAAGATGCTCAAGTTCATTTTTCACAATTTTTTTTTAAATAATTCGAAAATAGTCCGTCTGGCACTACTGGTGACGAGACTTGATGTTAGTGATGTTAGATAGTTTACTTCACACGATTGGAAAAAGGAAGAAAGACGACTTGCGGCGTTATTTTTTACTTCATGAATATCTAAAGTAACGAGTAATTTTATTGCGATCTCTGAGATCGAAGAAATACGGCCAGCACAATATTTCCCGGCTATAGCACCTTGTTATTTCCAAAAATTAAAAAAAAAAAATTTATAAGGAAATATGTTTGAAAGCAACTAATATGGTTAATACTCAACTCGATAAGATTTTGAAGACGGTTTTCAGAAGTGGATCTCTAGACTTAAGAAATGCTTTGAAATGGCGATTTACATAATCAGAGCAGATAAAAAAGGACAAAGATTAAGAATAAATACAAAAAGAATTTATCTTCTTTTTTTCCTTGGTCAGCTTAACGAGCATTTGCTAATCCCTCCGCATCACCTCACTGACTACTTGAAAAGTGTACATATATTTATGTATGTATATGGCTTCATGTATGCACAAATGTCAGGAACAATAAGCTAATGCTTTGAGCATATTATGTTCCTCCCATAAACACCTTCAACTACTAATAAAAACCGAATTTAATAAAGTCATCATATTACCTATATAAAGACATGGTGCAGAAATCTGAAGAGCAGAATGGAACGGTTGCAGAGACTATCACAATTAAGTTTTTTTTATACAGAATTAATTTATTTACTGGATCTGCTATAATATAAGCCTAACAGTAAGTGTACAAATCTTATAAACTAAATTACAAACACGATAGCTCGAGTTATTTAACTCTGAGCCCTTTTCAAACTACGGCGCGCTTCTTAGAAGGCGGGAACATCTCTTTGTTGTAGGCGGGAGTTTCTGGATTGGTTGCATAAAGCATTAGCTAGCGGATTTGGATGATTTCTTAGCTTTGTGAAGTACGTCGTCTTGCTTCTTTCAATTTCAGGCTTAACCAGTAAAATACCAAGGTCTTGATGAATGTTAACGTTACGAACGTACCATGGTGCGCCCGTTAGTGCTCTTAAAATTTTAGACTGGAACCTCTGTATTTTATCGATATTAGTTGCACAGGTCGTACCCCACAGTTGAATACCATACAATTAAGTTAATTATATCCTCTTCACTTCTATCAGATAACTTGATAATTTTATAAATACTATAAACACTCAAATTCTTGACTTTGTAACACTTCTTTACTTATATATTTACGTTTTTTATATTTATTTAAGAAACACCTCAAAAATTTCGAGTTAAGCACCTTCTCTTCACTTTTATCAGCCAACTGAATCAAAATGATTGTATAAACTCTTTAAATTTGTAAAAATACCATACTTACATTTGACTTTATAACAATAGTATTTTTATATGTATAACTGAATGTACCATGCAATGCTAATGTATGACTAGCTGTTACACTTACTAATTGTATGTATGAAAAATCAATCATGGGATATCTTTGTATCACAACTTTATTTACTCAATACTTGTAGGAATAGAACATTTTTGATTTTACCATTGACATTGGTCCACTTTCCGGGGAGAGGAGAAGTCCGACTATAATAGGCCAGTCCCCGGTCCACCTATTTCCCCAATTTCAGGTAAATGGATCTTTTAATAGGTCAGTTCCTGGTCCACTTCCGGACCTTCCAGTTAATCTAAGCAAAGGTCACCTCTTATATTATATTTCAAATAAATCGAGCTGTTATAGGTCAGCCCCGGGTCCACTTCACGATTTTTTTGTAAGCCTTTACAGGAACCATAGAATAAGTTTGACAAAATTTTAAGACCATCGTTTGGTAACTTTTGGAGTTTCTGAATTTTCCAAACGGACGTAAAATTTTTATATGAGAGGAAATGAGGTTAGGTATATTCACCAACAAACCTAAATTGCAAAGAATTGTATGGATAAAAGTCACTTTTTGGAGTTTACCAATTTTCCTCCTTTATCTCAGAAAGTGTATAGGGTGTTTCATAAAGTGTGCAGTTTTTAAATTGCGCGGAAATTTTTTGTTTGAAAATTGTTAGCACTTTTCTATTTTTTAGCCATGGAGCGGTCCAGTATCGAGCAGCGCATTCTTATTGTGAAAACTCATTACAAAAACGGGGAGTGCTACACAGAGACTGCCTGTAAACTTCGAGCAATCTTTAGACGTGACAATGCCCCGACCGAAGAACAGTTTCGAGGTTAATACGGAAATTCAAAGACTGTGGGTCAGTTGCAACTAGAAAATCGCCCTTTAGAAACCGTAATGTTCGAAAGCAGCAAAACATTGCGGTAGTGCAAGATAGTGCGAATGTGAACCCTATGAAGTCGCTTCGCCGAGAGAAAGTGGAGGTGGACATATGTTCGATATCATTTTTCATTATATAATTGAAGTATGTATTGAATTGTAAGTATTGTATTGAATGAAATGAAATAAAAATTTAGAATTTTGCATCGATTTTTGCTGATTGATTGTATTTTTAAAAACTGCGTATTTTATATAAGGTAAGGAAAATTTCATCAAGATTGGTTCAGCCGTTCTCGAGCCTTAGAGTCACTAACAAACAAACATTCATTTTTATGTAACGAATATCAAGTAATTAGAACTATAAATAAAATTTTTTGAATAGATCAGCCGCTAGTCTACTTCCTGGAAAGAAGTGCAGTCTTTCTGTTAATCTAAGTAAAAAGCTGTCTATGCACTGATTTTCAAGTAAATACAGCCATGAACAAAGTTTTTTTGAATAGGTCAGTCCCCAATCCACTTGCCAAAAACTTTTTGTCGTAAAAACCTTCCGAGATACCTTTTGAAGAGCACCAGTTACAAACGGAAATAACGGCCCACTTCCCGAAGTACGAATAGAGGGTTACCACATTGGGGCTGGTGATAGAAGGAGGAGATATTCGTTTAGGGTTATATGTGTACTTTTATGTAGTATCATAAAAAAATTTAAAAAATTTAGTGGTGGACTACTATTATCATTTAAGGGTGTGAAAAATATATGTTAGCTGATTCTCAGATATACTGAATATGCGCATAAAATTTCATTACAATTGGTCAAGCCGTTTTGGAGAAGCATCGTATCTAACATTGCGATGAGAATTTTATATACTAGATATATAAATAGGGCTTTGTAACCGTTGAACCGATTTTTGGCCCACCTCCTTCTCAAATTTGTGGTATGGGTCTCGTGGGGACTATAAATCTTACGCAAAGCCTTACAAGAGAAAACACTCAGAGGCTACTAATCAGATATTGTCATCACCCACACTTCTGGACCATATAGCAGGACAGAAATGATGAGAGTCTTGTAGAGTTTGGTTTTTGTTCGTCGGGAAAGTACTTTACTTTTCAATTACTTACTCCGCTTAAAAGTAGCACCTATGGGCAATAGTGAAGACTGGTGGCTTCATAAACGAAACAATCTGCGACCTCGAAGTTATGACTGTCAATAGTGACATAGTAACCGAGTCACGAATATTACGACTGTTTGTTTGGCGACACGAGATATTTCGTCTTGCCTTCGTTCACTACCATATGCAGAACTTACGGCGCGGTTGTTGAGCACAATGATGAATATTAAGAAATCTCACTATAAAGAGTGTCTGAAATCTCGTTTGATACCGAACAGATCGGAGAGGGCCTTTCCGATTTTGACTGTGCTTCTGGTGTTGGGCAGTGTTCGTTTACGCAACCGTATAAGTTTTGCTGGAACACCAAATTTAAACATGGAGGATGGGGCCATGTGTGAAAGCTCGCGCAGGAAAGTTTTTAACTGACATTCATCTGGGAGTGGCCAGAAGCGATTCTTTTGAATATTGTTCAAGCTGCTTACAACTTCTGGTATGATACCAGGTATCCTCTGGGTAGCGCACAATCATGCGTTTAGAAGCGAATCCCCTGAGCTGGTGGTGGGGTTTGGGACTCATCACATGAAAAACAAACTTCAAAAATTCTGGATAATACATATACATATGCATTCAATATCAAATATTTTCTACAGATGTTATTTTATTGGGATTGGAAAATTACTTTTGTTGGGCAGACCTCGTAGAATTCTTGTTTCTTTACAGCACTTTTTTGTTAATACTTCTAATTGGACTTTTTCCAACCAAAACTAGTATTAAATGAGAAAAAATTTAGAAAAAAATTTAAGTAAAACCGAAAGCCAAAGCCTTTTACAAAGAAAAAAAAATATCTTTCATTTTCAATTAATATTTCATTATTATACAATGACAAAAGAGGGTATGAACTTCAAACCAATTAATTTCAATATTTGCTCTTTGTCGCAGATTTTTATTTAATTTTTTTGCCAGGCTTAAGGAAATCAAAACTCAAAATTAATCTTAATATATGTGTGGATATGTACATTATTTTGGTTAATATATTTCCGAGCCCGATATTTGTCATTTTTCTTCGAAAAGCAATTCTCCTGTCAGAATAAGTAAATAAATAATTTTAAGAAGCATGAATTGAATTTTTAGTTGAAAGTAAATTTTCTTGAAATAAAACTGCTTGTAAATACATACGAGGAAATGCGTGTATCTAATTGTTTTGACTTCTGAACCAAAAGTGAAGACGGGAATGCATGACCGTGAGTAGCAATTCCATTAATAAAATGTACAACATATTTTTAGTAATTTCTCTATATTCGTCGATGCGGCGACGATACTTATCTTAAAACTTCTAAAATATAAAATTAATTGAGTTCCTGTTTAGCTTGTAAAGTATGTATCAAGCACTTTAATCTATGAATCTATAACGAACTTCTAAACAAAAAATTAATTAGAAAATTATTAATATAATTATGAATTATTTAGAGAATAATATCATATGAATCTTTCATATCGTATGAATCTTTCTTTCATTTAAAAATTTATAAAAACATTATCATAACATCATTTGTTGCTTACCAATGAGGAATAGAACAATGACATATGGTATCAGGAATCCTCCACCACCGTTTTCGTATGCGATAAAAGGAAATCTCCAAATATTACCCAACCCCACCGACACTGATATACAAGACATTAAAAAATCTAATTTTCCGGACCAATTTTCTCGATCTTCTTTTTCTTTCTCACTGCCTGTCGCATTTTCATTTATCTCTTTAGAATTATTATCATCCATTTCTAAATGGATAATTATTTCAATCGATCGGTAACTTTTCTTCTTAACAGGTTGAAATGTTAAATCATACTAATATTATTTATTCGTCTAATTAGCTTGAGTACCTTAATTCTTTTGTCTTAAGCACGTCGTAAGGCTGACAACAACATGGTAATAAAATAAAACATAAAAATTGCGGCGTTTAAATTTATTGAAAAGAAAAAAATATCTTATGATAAAACAACTTAAAAACTTCAATAGAATGATTATGACATTCTCCATATTTTAAGATTATAGTTACACTATGCTACAACATTTTTCAAACAGATCTACACATTTCCACAGTTTTTATATTAGAGTTATTTTTATTTGAATCATGTTTTATAAAGGCAAACATTTGTTACGGAAATATTTGGAGTTTAATTTTTATTGGGATTATCAACATATAAAAGTTGTTTCTTTCCTTATTACAAGTATTCAAGGAGATTAGTAACATAAAAAGCATCAAAGGTGCGAAAATCAAACCGGCTCCGTTTAAGATCAAAATATAACCGTGACCGAAACAAAAGCGATTATGGTCTATTCATATTAACACTCTAGTTGAACGTAAAAGTATTGCTTGTAAACCGAACCTACTTACGGACGAGCTATCCCTATATCCAAATCATACGTATTATTTGAAAAGCATTATTTATTCTTCAGACAAATTGAATTTGAATCCATTTTCAGGAAGCATAAGTTTTTCATTTAGGCATATCATGCAAGAATTTAACTAAAACGAACGAATGAATATGTATATTTTTGCATATCTTCCGATTTAAATTAAATATTTCAAGTTAAAGTAACTATAAATACGACGTTTTCGAATAATACGGCTCCTGGTTCTCTTACTGGAGGGTGGCTAATCTAAGCAAAAGCCATCTATGTACCAAATCGGAAGTACCTGGCCCAATTTTTCGTACAATTCTTTTCAGAAACCATAGAAACCAAGTCAAACGGTCGGTAACTTTTCGATATATGCGATCTTTACAAACGAACCTAAGATTTTTATACATTATATAAATAATATATATATTACTGTGGAATATTCGCATAAGTTTACAATGTAAAATGTAAACTAGTGTTAATGCCGTGCATCGGGTCTTTTAAAATATTATAGGAGAACTTAAATTCGCAATAGGTACTTCTGATAAAGAGAAAGATAGTTAGCGTTCATGCGATTAAGCAAATATAATATGTGCTTAACTTTTGAACATTTACAAGTGTAATTTCTCTTGTCATACATCTAGCTTTTTATTCCAATAAATTAAAATATATGCATATGTATGTGTGTTGGTATGGGATATTTTTGTTTTTGGTACTCAGTACCACAGTTTTTTTGTTCTTTCCTTATTTATTTATATTATATTTTTGATGTTTATTTATAAAGGCGCCCACCCCCTTATCATCGTAGAAATTACGGTGGGTACTGTCTGATTAGCTTATTGTTTGTATCACAGTGAAGATAAACGCAGAAGATTAGTTTCTACACTCATCTTTGGTTTTTTAATAACTTGGAAACAGTGCAGCGGTATTTTTGGTCTTTAATGCCTCTGATGATAAGTTATCTATTTGCGTCGAAAACCGAACATATTCTGTCTTACGCCAAAAGAAGGTTAGGGCTCGATATATGTATATATATCAATAGTTTAGAAACTGCGAATTAATTAAACTAAATCTGTCTAACCTTTTCTTCGTCTCTTCCTCCGTCCAAATGTGTCTCCCTCTCATATAGAATATGACAAAAATAAAATTATGGATGGATTTAATTAAAGATTTCATCTTTTATAATTTGAAAGCGTTGGATTCGAAACGTTATTTTATTTTGTACAGCCATTTATTGTACGAGAACATATTGCTAAAAGTTTAAAACACACAAAAATATCTGTAAACTTTCCAATTGATGTCCATAAAGCTTTTTTAGTCTAGGCCAATTAGGTTGTATTCGCACATTTTTAGGTATCATAGATATTAGCTTAGTTCGATGATAAAAGCATCAATAATCGCCCAGACCGAGGAAACTACTTTATTTTTTTTAATTATTTTTAAGTTTACTTTCATTTATACTTTTGATTTTTTTAGAATAAAATGTTTTAAAAAGTGGAAAACTTTAATACCTTGTAGTCAGAGAAGAACTAACGATTTAACTAATTCCTAATCATTAGTACCAGTAATTTGAATATTTTTATTATTACTGATTTAAAAAGATAATGCAGGCTAATTTGTTCTTACCAAAACAATTAAAAAATGGCCATTTCGCCAGAATTTATATTTTTAAAGTTTCTATACCACCTGAACCTGGAAGGGGTTGAATCATCTATTTGATATGCAAATGAATAAATTTATTTAAAATATATGTATTTAAAGTATAATAAATGCAGAATTTTCACAAATCACAATTCAATTTGTAAAAAAAGAAATCATGAGAAAAACAACAGAATAATTTGCACTAACAACAAGCATGCCTAATTCACTTGGACTCTTTTGTATATTGTTATTATTGCGATTAGATTTTTAGCGTGTCATCGTAACGAACAAAAAAAAATAGCTCAAAAATATAATTTATTGATTTTTCGAGACTTTTTTCTCTTATTCATTCTTCAAGTAATGCGTCGTTGCATTCCCCTTATTAGCGAAATGACTAATTATAAAGAGTGCATCAAATAGTCGGTTGATTGCGCGCTCTGGCAATCGCTTGATCCCAGCGGCACTACAGGGTAGCGTCGGCCAACAACTTCAAAATAAGAATCTCAAAATGCACGTAGCCTTTGTAGCAATGAATCGTCATATTGCAACTTATTCTCAATTTCGATTACTACAAAATCGAGCAGATGGCAATCATCATATAAAAACAACAGCTCAACAACTAAGATAAGCAACCTTTTGAAATTGTTAAACAAATTTTTGCTTGTTTGTCTCTATTATATAATTCTATATAAAGTAACAATTTGTTGAGATACTTATTATTATTTATAGTTAACTTATTTGTAAACTCCTTCTCCGATCATGCGCTTACATAATCTATAATAACAGAATACAAAACGAAATTAAAAATTCTTATTCAGGTTCAAATACAACATATATTTAATACAACACATTCATATATAAAACTTAATACAACTTGAAGATGATTTTAGGCCAAATAAAAACTTAATGGAAAAGACGCCCCGAAGATTTTTTTTTTTAATTGTTGAAGGGCATTTTGAAATTGTTAATAATCATAATGATAATGTCAAGTTTCTTCTCTTCCATGAGAAGGTTAGGTTTTAGGCCTGACTAAGACCCATTATTGTGATACCACAAAAACTTACCCATCAGGAACCTCATAAGATCCATGCAGCCCCTAATCTTTCCGCGGTTCTTCCTATTAGACAGCCACATACCACCTCTGTCAAAGGAGTACATATTTCGTGATCTGCTTCTATCCCATTTCGGTCATGTGTGCTTGGATTTGCGGCAGGTTGTAATGCCAGTCTACTTTGTAGCGGTTCGTTCACATACTTATAAATTCCTTGAGGAGCAGTCTGCAAGTTCATACGCCTTACAGTTTCCCTCAATGGCCCTGTGATCAGGGACCCACGTGAGAAACAGTCTGTTCGGTTTGGCCATCTCCCGTAGAGATCGGCAACAGTTCAGCAATAATTTATAGTTTAGTGTAAATGGGTCCATTGTTTTTATTTCCTTGTGAATATCTCTTAAAATGAAGATACCCTTATCCCTTGGAGTATTGTAATTTTCTTACCATTCTTATTAATTAGTTAATACTATTGTACCACATGTATAACTACGTATAAAGTCGTACCTATGTATCCAGTATAGTCGAAAGTCCCCACAGTTGGCTATTTCATTGCTGCCGACTAATATACCACTAAATCCGGTGGCAAGATATTGAGTACTGCATTTAAAATTTCACTAGGCGTGTTCCTTAGGGCTCCACTGATACACATTAACTCACTTCTTTGATTCTTATCTATGAATATAGCATTTGAAGCTTTATTTATAGCCGGCCACCACACGATCGCACCGCAAGGGAACGTTGGTATCCTGGGGCTTACAGCCCATTTCTTTTCTGTTGCTCTTTATCATGTATAGATATATACAACCTTCTCGTATCTTTGGATAATATTATCTTTCCTGTTGAGTTTTTGTCTAAGAAGACTCCTAGAAATTTAGCTTTTGGTCCCAGGCTAAGTTGAACGCCAAACAGCGCCGGTGGGTTGATAGCAGGGATCTGGTATCTTCTTGTAAATAGTACTAGTTCTACTTTGTCTGAGTTGGCACAGAGGCCAAATTGAGTAGTCCAAGACAATTCCTTTCTTAGTATGCTCACAGGAGTCTGCGAGTTGCCAGGAAAGTGAATATCTTTTTTACCTACTTTACTGGCGTAGACACCCCTTACGTGATGTTAGCCGAATTATAACATTGCGCCGTTCATTCCTTTTTCTTTCTGCTAGGAGATACTATATATGAGTGCATCTATATATTTATTTATATTACTTAATAAAGCTTTTTATATTTATTGTTATTAAAATCTTTAATATTTTATTGTTTAATTTCAGAAAAGCTTTATGATTGAAAATAAAAAACGTAAAATTCAAAAACATAGAAACTGAAAAATTTATAATAAGAAAGTAGATTCCTGCATTTGCTTAGATTCCTCGTCGTCTTTTGTTGTTCTTCATAAAGATATTGAAAATGTATGTATTTTGTTGAAATTAAAATAATTTCTGGAATACGAAAAAGGGTGTCGGCAATTTTATTATCTTTATCATAAATGTATCTTATATCGTTAGTAAATTGCGCAATATATTCTAAATGTCTTATTTGAAGAGGAGATCTATCTACTTTAGAATTAAGAATATGTGTAAGTGATCAAAAGCTTTTGTTGTTTCATCTGTCTGATTTAATTCTTTTATTTTATTTTTAATTGTAAATGTAAGCATTTCGTGCAGAGGTCTCAATTCTACTGCTAACATTTTAATATACCTATGATAATAAATATGTTTTGGCAGCCGCGGCAGACGTGTGGTTAGCACTGCGGGTTCACATCCCCGTGCAACCAACATCCAAAAGTTAAATAATAAATTATGTTAAATTT